GTATAGTGCAGACAACTAAGAATTAACTACTCCATCCATCCCCAGAAAGAAGTGGATTGCACACCATTGTACAGATGGGAATGCTGCAGCTCAGATGGGCACTGGCTGCAGGGGATCATGGGATATTTTCAATGTCTGCCTGCCAAGCAAACCTTGGGCTGGAGGCCAGGTTTAGACCAGGAACAAGGAAAGAGCAAATCTTTCGGAATACATTGAGGGCTTATGAGAGAGGCTGTGGGCTCTGTCACCTGACACTTCTCTCGTTGACTTTAGATGCCTGCTCCAAAAATCTTCCTCCTTCCCCTCCCCGGCCAGAGATGGAGGTAGGAGAGGGCAACCTCAGGAAGGGTTGGTTCATCTGCTCTTACCTCTTAGAACCAGAGTCTCAAAAGCTGTCTCTGGCTCAGGGGGAATTGAGAGAGCCGGGGACCAAGGCCAGCTCTCCACTGCTAGGCTCTCAAGTGCCACCCCTCACTCCTTGCTCTCCACCATGACAGCCTCCTCAGGGCAAGACACAGCCATCTATGCCTTTACACCTCCACCAGCCAAAAGGATAAACAGTACAGACACCTCTCCATCCTGGAAGCCCCAGGGGAAAATATGTAGTTTTCCATCTCTGGTTGGGAGTCAACAGAGCTAGGAAAACAGGCGAGGGATTGGACATCTGGGCTGTGACACAGGGAGGCAAGTGGTCAGGGAGAAGGAGGTGATTCAGTGAGTTCATGTAAAAAAAAATGGTTTAAGACTCAGGTGCATACATTTGGCCACTATGTCACTATGATCTCCAACACTACCCAGTGACTAGAACTGCTAATCTGGCCACAGCCCTCTCCCCTCTTTCACACCCCCACATGCCCACCACCAGCCTGTCATCCTCTGACTTGTCCCTCATGAAGGTTGCTCTTGGCATTGACACATGCTGCCACTTGACTTCCCATCTACCCCCTAACAGGGAAGCTCACCTTACAAAAGGTTCCTGCCTTTGAACATCAGTCTGGACTCAGAAACTCCCTAAAAGTTTACCCAGGTCCAGCCAACCAAACATACTATTCCCATCCCCACTCTCTCAGCAGCCACACGAGGAACCACAAGGCCAGTCAGCAGCGCCGAGCTGAGCAACCAGGGGAGCAGTTCCCACTCCATGCCCCCCCAGCCCAAGTTGACATCAGAACAGGAGGAGTAGATGCTGTACTCCCGCCAACAGATGACGACTAGAGTGAGGAAATACCAGATAATTATCTGTTGATGGCAAGGGTGAAACTACTTGGGCATGGAGTATCCCAAACAGTCAATAGCCTTTAAAAAAGGGGGGGGGGGTGTGAAGGGGAGGCTGGTTAGTTAGCTTTGGTAGATTCACTGTCACACTTCTGACTTACAGTGATTGATATTAAAATGACTCTATAGTATTAGCTTACTGAGGAATGCTGGGTTTCAGGGCTGGCTGGCCAGAGATTAAACATTGACTCCTGGCAGAGGTTAAACATTGACCCCAGACAGGGGGTTAACATTGATTCAGCCAAAGAGGTGCATGTGGGAGCAGAGAGCTGGCAGGCAACACCAGTGACAGGGCATTTCATCTGTCCTCTTACCTCATTCACATACCACGTTCATAGGAACCACCGCAGTGAGGGGTGCCGGGAGGGCAGTGGAGACGTGGGAGGAAAACTATATGGCTTAGGCCTCCCCTTCTGTTGGAAGCTAGGTCAACCCAGGGTCTTGAAGCATCAAACTAAGGATGCCAGCCTGAAGGGCTGGACCTGTGTGGGCCTGTGTGTTTGGTCCTCTCCAACCTTTCCCAGATCAATCAAAGGGGCAAAGGGGAGTCCTCCACTGCCTGTGAAAACACAATCCAAAAGGTTTCAGAAGCAGGGAAATGCCCAGTGCTGGGAGACCTTGGTGCTGCCCCCTCCATGCCATTGCCTCACTGTGCAAACTTGGGCAAGTCATTTCACTTCTCCGCCCTTGGTTCTTCATGGATCACCGGGGAATAACAATGTTTGTTCTGAAAGCCTATGCTGTCCCGTTTATTGAAGCTGATCGATGCCAGCCAAATGCACTTTATATATCATCTTTTTAACATGCATGCAGGGTAAATACAATTAGCCCCATTTTATAGATAACTTGTCAAGTGTCCCTTGGTTAGCAGGTGGCAGGCTTGGATGTAAAATCGGGCGTGCTGGGCCTGGAGCCTGTGAGCTTCCCACAGGCTGCCCTGCCTCTCCCTGCTGGCTGCCACCTGACTGTCCTCCGTGGCGGTGGTGGCAATGTGATGACTCCTCAATTAGACCACGAGGCCTCGGGGAACAGGGATGCCCATTCCTATAAGTCTCAAATCTGCTTGGACCTTGAAGTGGTCTTGAGCATAATAGATGCCATGCTAGGCTAGGCTGAAAAATCCCACCCCAAAAACATGTTTATCTCATGAAACCTAGAATCTGTACATGTGACCTTATTTGGGGAAAGGGTCTGTTCAGGATCTTGAGATAAGATCATCTTGGATTATCCAGGTGGACCTCGAATACCATCCTTACAAGAGAGAGGTGGAAAAGCCTCTTAGCCACCCCTAGAAGGCAGTGCGAGCACAAGGGCAGGGATTGGAACGGAGCAGCTACAAGGCATAGAGTGCCAAGGGACACCAGCAGTCGCCAGAAGCCTGGAGAGGCCTGAACAGATTCTCCATGGAGCCTCCAGAGGGAGCAGGGCCCCGATCACCCCTTGGTTTCTTAATTTGAGCCTCCTGAATGGAGAGAATACATTTCTGTGGTTTTAAGCCTTGGAGGTTACGGTGAGTTGTTGCAGCAGCCCCAGGACTCTAATGCGGGTGGTCAGTGAAAACAGAATCCTGGAAGCAGAAAAGCCCTGGAAGCCATTTGGCCCAGCCCTCCCACATAGCAGCTGAAATAATCACAGCCCTAAAGGAGGGCGCCTTTGGCAGCGGCCACTCCGCAAACTACAGGCAGAGCCAGAACCAGGACACAGGGGTTCTGACCCCCGACCAGAGCTCTGCGTGTCCCCACACTGACTCATGCCAAATCCCAAGTCATGAAAGTCAAACGAGAAGCTGATCTTATTATTATATGCTCCTCATACAATCGTTTTAAAAGAGAAGGGGGAGTTTAAGCACATGAAGTACGTTTTGGAGGCTGTAATGACTGCTGTTACCAACCTTATTATTGAGCTGGACAATCAGGCCCTCTCGGCCAGTCCCTCCTCCCCCAGGAATGGGATGCAGGGGTTACTTTTAGGGGCTCCGAGTCCCAGATGGGGAAACGACAGTGAGAGAAAGGAAGCTGGGGGACTCCAATCACACCACAGCATGTGGCTGAGCCCAAAATAAGATGCAGGGTTTTGACTTCCTGGTTCTTACCTGGGCTCTACTTCTCATTTTCCCTTTCCCTAAGCAGGGCCATAGAGCAGGAGGGCTCCAGGAGCGTGTGTGTGTGTGTGTGTGTGTGTGTGTGTGTGTGTATCTGTGCATGTGTGTGTGTGCACATGTGTGTGCTTTTATGTGTATGCGTATGAGTATCTGTGCATGCGTGCATGCACACACGTGTGTGCACATGCATATGTGAATGACATGGCCTGCTAAGATAGTTTTGGGGACTCTTGAAAACAAACCCTGGGTTATGATCTAGGAAACATCACCATCACAGAGTATGAGCACATGGAAGAAGGTCTGGGGACCCGAAATAGAATAAGAAGCAACTGTTTCATGGATGGGCTTCCTTGCTTTCCCTCTCCGTCCTCCCCTCCTCACTCACCTGGTTTCTGTCCCAGTATTCAGTGGGCTCACTTATCACAGACTTAATGTAAGTCCTAGAGGAGAGAAGGAGACAAAAGGGAAAGAAAATCTAGAATGAGAGCGAGTTTTAAATTGGGAATGAAGTGACTGAGATACCGTTGAACTGGACCCAGTTTGCTTGGAAGTGACTAGGCCATTGATGTCTTACGTTAGTCCAACTGTGCGTTTAGGTCGGAAATTAAGCTCCATAATAGAAAATGCAGTTTCGTTACTTGCCATCCGAATTCATGATGGTGGGGTTCCCACCTGTGAGTGATGGTAAGCTAAAATAAGCCCCCAGTCTCTGACTGCCCTGTGCTTTCCAGGCCTCTGTTTCTCCTTTCCTCCTTCCCCTTCTGGGCTTGGCCCGCAGGACCTCGGAGGGAGAGCGCGGGCCAGTCCGCACAGGGAGGAAGGGGCAGGATTCTGTGTGGGTGGGGTGGGGGTGGGGGGCATGTGTGTGTGTGTTGGGGAGGGGACATGTGAGACCCAGGACTGCCAAGATCACTTGGGGAACACCTGGGAGTCCTGACCAGGTCATGACCAGAAGGCCACGAGGGACTTGCCGAGGTGGAGAAGGGGCTCTCTGCTCCAGCTCACAGATTGGCACCTCCTTTGATGTGGCCAGGAGCCCAGGTCTTGAAAAGACTCGGAGGTTCACCATTTCAGGAGAGCCCGGTGGCAGCCAGCATCTTCATTCCTCTAGGAGAGAAAAGAGAAGATCCTCGGTCCCACTAGATCCTGGGAGCAATGCGCTGGTCAGAAGGCTCCACAGAAGATGTGTAGAGTGTGCTCAATCTAGGCTGTGTCCTCGGGATTGGGGGGCAGTGTTCCCGAGTGGGAGCTGAGTCCAATCCCTGCCACCTGTGCCCCATCCAATGCATATCGGTATCATACCATGGCATGGGCCTGGTGTTTTACATCCAGCATCCGATTATACCCTCAATCTTCAGGTTTGGTGTTCCCGTCCCTATTTTCCACTTGAAAAGAAATATGAAGGTGACGTGCCTGGGGTCTTGCAGCTAGAAAGTGGCCGAAGGGCTCTTCATGCTCTCAAATCCTATAGCTACAATGATGTGGGGTTTCCCAAGTAACAGTCTCCCCAAGGTCAAAGGGAAGCAGCGGAGGCAGCCCAGAAAGCTGAAGGGGAAGGAAAGCAATGATCTGTGGGAGTCACGTGGCCCTGGCTGGCCGCCATGCCAGTGGGAGAGTGTCCCTTTAAGAACCCAGGTGTGGGCCAAGCACTGTTCATAGTTTCAGTTTTGGCAGCAGCATCCAGTGTCCTGTTGGCAACTCCTAGGAAGGCAGGGGTTGTGAACTAGGCAGCAGGCTGTTCCCCTGAAACGGACTCGACAGGAGAGAAGGAAGTATCTAAAGGTAAGTGTGGGAACCCCAGATGGGATACCAACTGGAAGGGTCTGGGATGGTGGCTCAGGCAACTCCCTACATTCACAGCTCTCAGCCTCCCGGTGCCAGAGGAGGAGGACTGAGCATGTTCGTTAAGTAGAGGTACAGATCCCAGAGAGATGGGTAAGGATGCACGTGTGTGGAAGCCCCCACCTCTTGTCTGCGGAATTTTAGCAGGTGGGAAGAGGGACGTCTGTGGTCAGCACATGTAGCTATGCTCTGAGTTCCGTACTAACCCCTCCACAGGTGCAATGTGTGGCCTTAGGCAAGTCCCCTGATTGCTCTCTGAGCCTTAGTGGCTTCCTCTGTACAAAGTGGATAAAAATAACTCCTCTCACTTAGGGTTGATGTGAGGTTGAGATGTGAGTTTCAAATATGTGTGAATATGCTTTGAAAACTCCTGAGCAAAAGTAACAACTGTTGGGTGTTTTCTGATTTAGTTCGATTACTCAAGGTCTTGTGAGCATCAGACAGACCTGGGTAAGATAACGCGTATAAAGTGCCCAGCACATAACAGCGACCCTGCTAGCCTTTGACCTTTTCTCCTCCTCCAGCTTCCGGGTGCGGGCTTGTGCAGCCCCTTTTCCTGAGCTTCGAGGAAGCTCTGAGATCCTAATTTCAACCCAGCTTTGCTCCATGATGTGATGCTCTTGCTAAGATGGGGAAAATGAGATCCTCCCAGGGTGAGCGAGTAAGGTGGACAGAACCGGCATCCTGGGACAGTCAGCATTCTGGCGTCCTGATGCTACGCCTGGCTCTGCAGACATAGTCCTCTCCTCCATGCTCTCCTCCATCCTGACAGGGTCCCCAAATGTCCCCAAGCCAGCCCTGCCCCTCCAGCACAAGCTCCATCCTCGCCGCCCCAGTTTCCTTCCTACAACTGTCTCGGGCTTGGGGTCGCCTGAGCTGCTGGCTCTGTTTTAGACACAGCCTTTGCCGTCCCTCTCCCCCTCGTGAGGAAAATTACAGGCTCCTTAACATCTGGAGAGGCGATGTGCGGATTCCTGGGATAGGTTAGAAAGCCGCTGTCTGGCCTGCCCAGAGAAGCTGTGCGATCTGCATGCCTCCTTCTGGCCTGGCTATGGGGCTGCAGCAGAAAGAGCCATGGACCAGGAGTCAGGAGAGCATCTAGCCCCACGGTCATTGCCTGTCCCTGGGAAGTCTTAGATGGTGGCGGCTTTGTTTTATAAAGAGAGCGACAGCAGCAACTTCCACGTAGCAAACCCACCTACCCTCCCGGCTCTAATCTCATTCCTACTTGAACCAAACCCGAGAGGTAGGCAGGGTAGGTGTTGTGATCACACTTTACAGTCAGGAAACTAAGACTCCGTGAGCTAGTGCGAGTGGTATCAGGTCACCCACATATATGAGCGATGACCCAGTCATTTGATGTGGTCATGGGGACATTTTGACACACCTGAGAAACGAAATAACCAATTTTTGAAAAGTAGCATGACCCATGCACGTGCTCAGAAGAGACTCCCCACATCTGTGTCTCGCCCTTCCTGAGTGGGCTGAGGCCACGGTCTCCAAGGCCCTGGCCTTGACACATTAGGACATGGTGGAGAGGCTTTGGAGGAAAGTGTCTGGTTACAGGAAACAACCCTAACATGCCCGACACATGGTAGGTGCGCAATCAATAGCAGCCTTTATGATTTCCAGGAGGAACCGTCTTGTGGGCACCTACCTCTGGGTCCAGGTGTCCCTTCGCTGGAACTAAGTCTTCTGTGGAAGGTGGAGGGCAGAGAACAGAACTAACTTTTCTATGATTGGATTTCCTCCTCCCAACTGTTTCTCCTCAACTTCAAGGCCCTACAGTATAGCTCAGTGACAGAGAGTTTATACTCTCAATCCAGAGTGTCTGCATTTGAATCCCATCGCAGTTACTTACCAGCTGGGCAAGGGTATAATTTCTCTGTGCCTCTGCGAAATGAGTTTGCCGGTTTAGTTCTACCTCGTAGGGTGTCTGAAAAGGTTAAATGAGTTTATACATGTAAAGCACTAGGAAATTATCCAGTGTGTGCTAACTATAGTATAAATACTGTCCCCCATTTCCATCCTAATATTATACATAACACGTGTCTCCTCTTGCAGGCCATGCTGGTCCAATCTGAGCAACACGCACACACACACACACACACACACATACACACACACACACACACACACACACACACACCATCTTCAAAAGATACTCAGTAAATAGAATTCTCTTCTCATTCTAAGATGAGAATAAGAGAAGACTGTGTTGATTTTAGAGAGGAGATGGAAAAGAAACTATCACTTCTTAAATTCTGACACCATACCAGACTTTACATATGTTGTTCCATTTCATCCCTACAGCAACTCTGTACTCAGTATAATGATCCCCAGTTTACAGATGAGGACAGAGGCTCAAATAATTTAAATACCCTACCCTCAAATCATGCAGCCCCTAAGGGAGAGAGTTCAGAGCCAAGCTGAAGAGCCCATGCTCCGTGCCACTCTCCAAGTGCGCAACAACCATGAAAGTCAAGTATACGGATCCCAGTCCTCCTGTGCTTGAGTAATTGCAATCTCTTACAGCTGAAGAGAACTTTATAATATTTTAAATATATTTTATTGATTTTTTTACAGAGAGGAAGAGAGAGGGATAGAGAGTTAGAAACATCGATGATAGGGAAACATTGATCAGCTGCCTCTTGCACACCCTGTACTGGGGATGTGCCTGCAACCAAGGTACATGCCCCTGACCAGAATCACACCTGGGACACTTCAGTCTGCAGGCTGACGTTCTATCCACTGAGCCAAACCTGTTTTGATAACTTTATACTATTTAAAGCGTCCCCATTACATTGTCCCACTCTCCCCCTCCCTGTTTCCCTATCCCACAGTGGTCCTTCAATCTAGAAGAGTCGGGAGCTCTGAGGGAGTTGAGCACAGTGGTACGGGTCTTCTGTCGCCTGTGGCAGAGCAGGACTCTGGCCTCTGAGTTGTCCTCCATCCACCAGGCTCTTCTTCATGCTACTGTCTCTTTAGTGCCCAGAACCAAGAAGGCATGTGGCAAAGTGAGAGAAATTCTGACATTTTCTTTCTCAAAGAGGAGCGAAAAGGATGTAATATTCCCAATCCCATCGATCTTTGCTGTTCAGCTGGTCCTTGCCAGCCACTCTAGTGCAAGGCTCTAGATTTGTCTAGTTGGCCCCTGCCTTTAAGGAGCTGCTCTCGGGTACAGTGGATGAGATAATGGGATGGAGCCATAAACAAGTGTTCTAAGTCTTTGTTGAAAGGCTTATTTCCAGAGCTTCGTGGAGCTGGTATTTCAAGTGCTTAACTTCTGCTTTAGTCTCCCATTGATAGTAGGCCACTTAGGGAAAAGACCAGAAAGTCTTGAATCGTTCTAGCTCATACTTTCTTCAAACCCCTTGGCTAGTCTTTCTCCATCTACCTGCCCTCCGGCGTTCAAATTCCTTTCCCTCGACATCGCCTTTACTTGGAGACTCTGCCACACTCCAGGGCTTCCATACACCAGATGAATTCTCCTAAACTCCCACCTGTCATCACAAGCCCTTCCAAACCATGCAGATTGCTCTCTTCCTAGTGGTGCTATGGTTTCTGGGCTCAGTCTAGCCTATACTCGACCCCTGAACCCATGAGAGATGAGACTCAGGAGTAGGGGATATAGGGGAAGAGGTTGTTCAGTACAGACCAAGGAAATCCCCCTCTCTAGCCAGGCCAGCTCTCTTCACTCCTCTGAGCGCCAAGCTTCCTGCTCCTCCAAGTTCACATTCACAAGGAGTTGTCAGCAACTGCCTCTTGGCTTTAAGTCCCCACAGAGCATGCTCCCTGTCACCTCTGAAGCCCCTCTGAAATACCAATCTCTCCATCCCCAGAGGGCCTTGCACCAGAGTGCCTGGAAAGCCCCTGAGAGGGCTCCCTGGGCCCTCTGCTATATACCAAACAACTGAAGAGCCCAGAGTTGCTAAAGGCCGGGTAGTTTAGCAGCGGCCCAGCCAGGACCTGACCAGGAGATGCCTCTTCCTCCGAAAAGGGAAGAAACTTAACATTGGATGGACAAAGGTTGGAGCTGAAGATCAGTCATTCTGCCTGGACAGTGTGGCTCAGTGGTTGAGTGTTGACCTATGAACCAGGAGGTCACCATTTGATTCCCAGTCAAGCACATGTCTTGGTTGTGGGTTTGATCCCCAATGGGAGGCATGCAGGAGGTAGCTGATCAGTGATTCTCTCTCATCATTGATGTTTCTATGTCTCCCTTAGTCTCTGAAATCAATAAAAATATATTTTTAAAAAAAATCATTCTAACTCAGTGGTCAGCAAACTGCGGCTCACAAGCCAAATGCAACTCTTTGGCCCCTTAAGTGTGGCTCTTGCACAAAAGACCATGGCCTGGGAGAGTCTATTTTGAAGAAGTGGTATTAAAAGAAGTTTAAGTTTAAGAATGTGGCTCTCCAAAGACATTTCAGTCGTTGCACTGTTGATATTTGGCTCTGTTGACTAATGAGTTTGCCAATCACTGTACTAGCCTATGTATATCCCAAAAGAACAGGTCCCTCTGCTCATGCAAAGAGTGATAACAAGTTAGTGATACAATTCTGCTATGGGTCTTGGGGCCAAGAATCTCTCTAACCCTTGGTTTTTCCATCTTCAACATGAAGATAATAGTATCTGCCTCTTATGTTGTTGTGAAGACGGATGAAGCCATGTGAGAAAAGAAGCTAGAAACATACCAGGTGTATGGGAGGTACCCAATAAATGTTATATTCTTTCCTTCCTTCCTTACCCAAATCCTTTAAATCCAACTCCAGACCCCATGGGACTGGGACCTCCATGATACCTGAATCTCAAAGGCTGGGGAGAAAGTCTGATTTTACGAGGAAGAGATCCCTAATAACTCTCTAAGCCCAAGTTTCTTTAACTGTTAGCAGGGAAATTGTGCTTCTAGTTTAGCTCTGGGCAGAGCTTTCCTGTTCCTGAGAGTGTGGGCGCCCTTGCCCTTCCACCATCTCCAATAGGACTAGACCAATGGTTGGCAGCCGCGGTTTGCCGCTCTAATGACTAATGAGTTTGCCGACCACTGCCTTAGGGGAAAACACTTAAAACACATTTTAATAATGTACTGATGTCTTTAACCTGAAGTCAAAACTTCTGGGTAAGGGTAGTGCTTTACACAGTGGTTGGCAAATTCATTAGTCAACAGAGCAGCAAACCGCGGCTGGCGAGCCGCATGTGACTGGCGAGCCGCAGTTTGCTGACCACAGGACTAGACTATGTTTTCTCTCCAAGACCACCTTCTGCCAGATCTGCCCTTCGAATTGTGCATCCCTGATGCTTGCATCTCTGGCCCATGGGTACAGAGCAATGGGTACACGAGTGTATCCTCACCAAACCCAAACACCCACAGCCATCCAAACATGCCACACATGAGGGGAAGCCTGGGCTGAACATCGGGATGCCCATTGGAAACCCTGGCACCTGACTCTCTGAAACTCAGGGCGAATCACTTTGATCCATTCGAGGAGGGCTGCATCCCCAGCTCTGCCCATGGGGAGACTCCCTCCAGTCTCACAGAAATATGAAGCTTGCTTATCTACATGGAGATTAGGAACCAGAACCATGGAGAGCCACTGATGGTGTGGGCTCTTAAAACAGCTAGCGGCAGTGTGTCCTCCCACTTGCCACTGAACCCAAGGCCAGTGCAAACGGCAGGTGGCAGATTCCCCCGGACTCTGCAGCCGGCCCATCCCATGTGTCCCAGAGGACACAGACTCCTCAGCCTTCTGACACTTGCTCCCACCTGAGAGCCTCCCTCAAGGGGACTCCAGTGGCTCAAACAGGTGGTCCCCCAGCCAGCGTCCCCTGAGCCCATCCAGGGTGGGGCTGATGCTGCGTTTGGCTAAGGCCCCACTCCAGAAGTTAATCATTGGCCTGCTGTGAAAGGTCCAGGACAATTAACCAGAATCAAGAGCCTCAAGTTGCCACCTGACACTCATATCTGTCCCCACCTCCCCTATCCTGCTCCCCTTCCTCTTCCAAAGAACTTGAGAAACAGAGGAAACAGGGTGCCTTTATCTACACAAGGAAATAAAAAGGTGCCTTGCTGGGAAATTCCCCCAAGGAAAAGAAATAACCAAGATAAACAGCTCTATTGCCTTTGGCTCAGGCTAGTGAAGGGAGTCGCTGGGGGGAGGGGGGAAGACAGCAAGGGCTGGGCAGTAAGGGGAGCCTGAGAGAGCCATCCTGACTCCCTACTGCTTTGAACTGGTTGCTTTGAACTTCCTTGTGTTTGGTGGGGGCGGAGGGCATTATTGCCCAAGCTCAGTTAATATGCTTCTCTCCTTCAACACTCTTGGTTTCAAGTTCATTGGGAAGTTTATAGCCTGCCAGAGTCTGTGGGAAAGCGAGGATTCCCCTCTCCTCCTTGGGCTGTAGTTTGTGTCCTGAAAAAAACAGCTGCGGTCAGACTGGGCCCTGGGACCCTCACCTCTCCCAGCTCTGGGCTGTGCCCACAGACTCAACCAGGTCCCCAGGCACTGCACCCTCTGAGTGGCCTTGTCTTGGATTCTCCATCACTTCCATCTGCCCAGGCGCTCCAGGCAGGATAGCAAGAACCAAGTCTCTGGGAAATCTCTCATAGGCATATCATTTAGCAGCTCTTGATCTTCTTATGCACAAAATGACTATAATTCTATCTGTTTTGTCTTATTTAAAAGGAAGTTATGACACTTCAGAGAAATAGTGTAAAGGACCGTGCTTTAGAGCAATGAGGGCTCTCTAAAATAATAGAAATAAGGCCCTAGCCTGCTTGGCTCAGTGGATATAGTGTCAGCCCTCAGACTGGAGCATCCCAGGTTAGATTCTGGTCAGGGGCACATATCTCGATTTCAGGTTCTCTGGCCCTGGTCAGGAGGCAATCAATCTATGTATTTCTCTCACATCAATGTGTCTCTCTGTCTCTCCCTCTCCCTTCCACTCTCTCTAAAAATCAATGGAAAAATATCTTCAGGCAAAGATTAACCTAAATAAATAAATAAATAAATAAATAAATAAATAAATAAGTAAATAAGTAAATAACAGGAGTAAGCACACGGGATAAGCACAGTGCTGTATTTGAGGAATTATTATGGTGCAGTGGGAGAGGTTAAGAGCTTGCATTTGAGAGTCCAGCAAACCTGAATTCAAATCTCGCCAATCTTGCCCACCCACACGCTTGATCCTTGTGTGACCTTGAGAAAAGCACTTAATCTTTAAGCTTTCATTTCTTCCAACGTGAAATATGGATAAGAATTCCTACCTCATAAGGGCTGATATCAAGTTTCAATGAGACAATATACCTACATTATTTCACACCATGCCGGGAACATGTAAGAAAAACAACTGATGGTGGTTAAGCCTATCATTGTTACATTTGAAACTTTAATCCTGTCTAAGCTTTCTCAGTGGGTCTTGGTTTACTCATGTGAACACACTTTAAACTATGACAGCCCCCCTCCACCTCCCACGATGGCAGCTGAGATGGAGAGATGGGGCCACATATTGGTAGTAACCAACCATCCAGCGAGGCGTTTCTGAGATCTTACCGATCATGCGAGGGACCATGCCTCCCAGGCGGAAATGGCACTTGTGTCCTGTCCCAAAGAAACTCACATGAGTAGAGGAGATAAAAATATACATGATAACTTTTGGGGAACAAAAAGTACTGTGAGGTGACAAGACTTTGAGTTCTAATGAGAAAGGGGGAGCCATTCATTCTTTCAATAGGATTTATGTTCATTACTGGGGATACAGCACCAAACTGGTGTTACAGGAACTCTAAGGTTGTGTGGACTTGGAAGGCATAAGAGCTTCATCCCCTCATGCCATTGTCTTTCAGCATCCAAGCAAGAAATTGGCCTGGGCCCCACAGCCCAGAGGGAGCCACCAACCATGACGCTCTTCTTCTTCGCCTGTCTGCTGGCTGTCCTCCCAGGTGCGTCTCCCCGGTCCCAGCCAACTCCCTGCAGGATCCAGTTCCCTGGGGACACTGAGATCAGGCCCATCCCCAAGGATGCCCCTCTCACAAAGTATATTCCCTCAAAAAGGGATCACACAGGTGAAGGGAAAAGTCCGTGTCTGAAAATAGATTGCAGATCAGGAACAGAAATGGAAGTTGCCCATTTCAAGGCCAGTGGTCTGCTCTTCACTGGGAATTATAAAAAAAAAAAATAAAAAAAAAAAAAAAAAAAGACCTAGACCTTGAACCAAACAACTCTATGAGGTGAATGAGGTTTGGGGGGAAAAATGACTTATCCTTCCTAGCTCTCAATATTTTTATCTAGAAAAAAAAATAAACTAGAATGTATTTTTAGAAAAATAAGAAAATAACAGACAGTAAATGCAAAAGTGTAGCACCCTTCAAAAGTGTGTTTTTTAATAGCCAAAGGAAATCTATAATAATAAAAGCATAATATGCTAATTAGACCGGATATCCTTCTGGACGAAGCCAGGGCTACAAGGGAAGCCTGGATCCCAGGTGCCAGAGGGAAGCCGGGGCTGGCAGCCAGGGGAAGGAAGGCCTACTATTGCACAAATTTCATGCATCAGGCCTCTAGTCTTTAAATAAGTTTACATTCCATTACTCTTTGAATGACTGTCATTAATAAATTAGAATTCGAATTTAATAATGATTAATCCCTTCGTTTACCTAACAGCAGCAATTGTCTAGCTGTAGTACAGGCAAATAATCCACAGAAGGCCCATGTGTTGGAAATGTCATCTCCTCCAGGTGGGCTATCAGCATTCTTTCAGCAGGTTTTACCTCCCACGGCCTCAGAAAGCCTCTGTTCTCTGTCCCCACAGTGGTCTCCATGAAGAGCCCCATCTTCGGTCCCCAGGAGGTGAGCAAAGTAGAAGGCAGCTCAGTGTCCATCAAATGCTTCTACCCAGCCACCTCCGTCAACCGACATTCCAGGAAGTACTGGTGCAAGCAGGGAGCCAGGGGCCGTTGCACTACCCTCATCTCGGACACCTACTTCTCCAAGGACTATGAGGGCAGAGCCAACATCACCGATTTCCCAGAGAGCAACATGTTCATGGTAGACATTGGCCATCTCACCCAGGATGACTCTGGGCAATACAAGTGTGGTGTAGGCATTGTTAACCAAGACCTGTTCTTTAATGTGAACCTGGAGGTCATCCCAGGTGAGGATCTTTGGGCTTCTGTGGGAAAGTGAAAGGGAATCATAGCAGGTGCAATTGAAGGGCTGGAGGAAGAATGTGATGAGTGGGAAAGATAGCCAGTGAGTCCTCCTCCCTCTGGAGGCAAGCACCTTTGGTAACAAAACATGAGAATGAGAAAGATGGCACCTATCTGGGTGTGGCAGACGGACTTTTCTAGATCTTCAGGGCCTATTACGTTTTAGGGTTTTACTGAGGCCCTAGCTTCCAAGAGCATTAGGAGAACAACTCCAGTGTTTAGTGAGGTGGGACAGGTCTATGAGCTGAGGGATGTAGGAAATGCAGGGAGAAATGTACAGGGATCTTTAAATTCCTGCTATTAGTGCACCCTTTAGATCAAGACCCAGGTCACCAGAAGGCTTCTTTGAAAATGCATTTTATTTTTATCCAGGACCCATTAGTCCATCAACACTTTCAGCATAAATTTCATGGCCAGTTCTTTTCCAAAGATCAGAGCTCTGAAGGGACGGGCCTTTGAACAAGCCTGTTCTAATGGAGAAAAAAAATAAAGGTTTTTGTGACAAGGATATTTTAGATAATAAAAGGAAATTAAAATAGAAAGGTCTTAAGGAAGGAAATTTGGAGGGATTCCCAGAGATATGTTTTTCTGTTTAGGGATGTGCTTAGTATTATCTGTGGACTCAATAAAGAGTCAATTCAGATGGTCATGGAGATTCATAAAATCAGAGTCTTAAGAGCTAAGGAGGTCTTAAAAGGACCCTATATAGGACATGGAGGAGAACATTAGAGACGATGGGGGATGCAGCCTCTGGTCAAACACTATAAATGGCAGAAGCTCATTACTTCACAAAGAAGTGCATTCCGTGTTTAGACTGTTGTACATTTTAGAAACTTTCACAACACACTGAAATCCACCCCCTTGTACTGGCATTCATTCTGCTCATTTTAAACTGTGTTAATTTGGACACCGACTGTGTAGAGGCATCATGCTAGGTCCTGCATGGGAGTAGAACATTTATAAAGCATCTGCCCTTGAGGGACTTCCAGTCTGTGGGGAACATAATTAACTAAACACAAGATTGGATGTGTGTGATACAGATGTAAGTATAAGGAGAACACAGAAGATGGAAAGATGAATGCCAGCTTGAGGGAGGCGGGGGGGGGGGGCTTCATGGAGGAAACAGCAGTAAAGGTGACAGGCATACCCAGACCTTCACTGGGAATACCAAGTAGAAAGTGAAGTCGCAACTCACCTTCTGCTCCTCATCCTGCAGGTCCTGGGCTCCATAATGGCGTTCACTTCCATATAGCAGACCTGGGCAGTACAGTGAGCATCACCTGCCCTTTCACATCTGAGAATTCTATGCAGAAGAAGTCTGTGTACAAGAAGATAGGCGAGAACTATGACCTAGTCGTCGACACCAGTGGGTATGAGAACTCCGACTACAGAAACAGAGTTTCTATCACTCTTCAGGGCACCAGCGAACTGTGGTTCAACTTCATCATCAAACAACTCAAGCTCAGCGATGCCGGGAAGTATGTCTGCCAGGCTGGGGATGATTCTACAGGTGACAAAAGCAATGTTGACCTCAAAGTGCTGAAGCCTGAGCCTGAGCTACTTTATGGAGACCTGGGGGGCTCAGTGGCCTTTCACTGTGCCCTGGACCCCGAGTTGAAAAATCTGCCCAAATTTCTGTGCCGGGTGAGCAAAGATAAAACCTGTGAAGTGGTCATCAACACCCTGGGGAAGAGGGCTCAGGCCTTTGAGGGAAGGATCCTGATTACTCTCAAGGATCAGGGCTTCTTCAATGTGCATATTACTGGCCTGAGGAAAGAGGATGCAGGGAGCTACTTCTGTGGAGCCCACTCTGATGGGGAGCCTCAGGAAGGCTTGCCCATGAAGGCTTGGCAACTCTTCGTTAATGAAGGTGAGACTTGAGAGGGGGAGAGGGAAGAGATCTGGAAGGTGAGAGCCTAGCTCACTCTCGGTGAGTCTATTCATTATTCATCTGTCAGTCAACATTGTCTGCTCACGGACAAGCCCTGAACTGAATGCTATGTGGGCAGCTGCCCAGGACAGCTAGGAAACAGCCTCTGCCTTGTGTTATCCTTTAGTTGTTCTATGTCATCATTTTGATGGCTATCCTTGGTTAATAGAAATGAGAGTGAAGCTCCTGATTGAAGCAAGACTTGTAGATTGTCTGGGCTTCAGAGAGCCACAGTGAGGACACAACGTGGCTTCCAAGGATTTTCAGGGCCATCTGTCCCTTCTCCCTGACCCTTCGCAAATAGCTCCTCATGCCTTACACTCAGATGATAGAATCAGTGGCTTGTCTTGCTCTCAAAGCTTTCCCAGGAAGGCAACACCCTGCCTCTAAATTTTCCTCTCCAACATCTCTTAGGATTAATTGTTATTCAGCAAGATCTGGCTTACTAAAAGCTCTACTTTGGCGAGCCATCAATGAGGTGAAATGCTTAAACCCCTGCTCCTTCTCACCCCAGAATACTCAGCAAGGAGTTACCCTCAGAAGGAACAACAAACCAGTACTTACTGCCCTTGTGCCTTTTAAGAGGCTCACATTCCCTGGGCATCATTTCTCTGTCCCACATGGGATCCTTACCACATTCCTCATCCACTCCAGTTACCCAGGATCTCAACCCAAACTTCTTGGAGAAGGGCTGTCCTTCTCTTTGGGAGGGCCCTTGGGCTACAGAGTTTGTATTTTAAATCACACTGTTCTAAATATAGTTTCTTAATTTGGGGAAAAATGCATCCGGCTATTATTGTGGGACAAGCTAATAAATAGACAAAAATTTCTACAGGTGAAGATTTTGTAAGAAGGTAAAGAGGGGAGCTGATAGTTTTTCTTTAAATTCATTCCAGTCTCTGCTCAGAACAAGGTGGGGGAAGGAGCAAGATGTCCAGACTAGCGGTGAAGGTCGCAGGGGTCTGGTTGCACACTCCAGCTCCAGGCTCTGTGACATTAGGAAAGTCTCACTTTTTGGGGTAGGTGAGGTCATTAGTATGAACCTCAGTCCCCACCCTGGCTGAGACCAGGGAAGAGCCTGCTCGGACCATGTCACCATTCTTCCATGTCATCTCTTTCCCTCTAGAGACCACGATGCCACGTAGTGTCTCTGTGATGAAAGGTGTGGTAGGAGGCTCTGTGGCCATGCTCTGCCCCTACCACCCTAAGGATAAAAATAGCCGGAAGTTCTGGTGTCGCTGGAATGAGCAAAACAGTGGCTGCCCACAGCTGGTGAGCAGTGAGGGGCTGGTTAAGGACCAGAGCAAACCCTACGAGGGCAGGCTCGCCCTTTCCGAAGAGCCAGGCAATGGCACCTACACGGTCATACTCAACCAGCTCACCACCAAGGATGCTGGCTTCTACTGGTGTCTGACCTCCGGTGATACTCACTGGTGGTTCACAGTGGAGCTCAAGATTGTGGAAGGTAAGCCCTGGTTGGGTGGCTCAGTTGATTGGAGCATCAGCCCATGCACCAAATGGTGGTGGGTTCAATTCCTGGTCAGGGCACATACCCACATTGCCAATTCAACCCCTGATTGGGGTATAGTTAGGAGGCAACCTATCGATATTTTTCTTTTCTCTCCCTGCTTCTTTATCTAAAATCAATAGAAAGACATATTCTTAAGTGAGGATTAAAAAAAAAGAAAAGAAAAGAAAAGAGCTGAACTGGGCAAGAGGGAAAAAATGCATCCGGCTATTATTTTGGGACAATACTCCTCCAATCAGCAACAGCATCACCCCTACCACTTCTTCTACTTCACCCACCTCCATGCTGGTGGGACAGCCCTCAGGAGAGAGCCCGCTGTGGAGAGGTCTTGCTTTCATACCTGTAGCAAGCATCCTTCCCAGCACTTGGCCTTCACTCCAGACTACCCCACATAGCACTTCCTATCTGAAGTGACTCTAGCCCTTGTATTGAGTCCAGAAAAGAAGAACAAGGAAAGCCAACTGAAGCCAGAGTGCAAGGTTCTCTGTTCTGTGATAGACAGATTGATCCCTGGTGGTCACTCCTAAAAATTATTACCTGGGTGCATAATAATTACACTTCTTACAATGCTATTCTTTATAATGCTGTCCAAAAAGGAAATGAGCTGTGGATCAAGGTCCCCACCACAGCCATTTCCTTACAGCAGCATCACCGGTGCCAATTTCTGTGCCTATTTCTCCCTCCCTTCTTGCTCCAGGAGAGCCAAACCTCAAGGCACCTGAGAAAGCCATTGCTTTCATTGGAGAGACTCTCACGGTGCCCTGCCACTCACCATGCAAGTTCTTCTCCTATGAGAAATACTGGTGCAAGTGGAGCAGCAAAGGTTGCAAGGTCCTGCCCAGCCAAAACGAGGCCTCCAGGCAGGCCTCTGTGAACTGCGACCAGAACAACCAGCTCACCTCCCTGATCCTGAACCAACCCACCAAGAATGATGAGGGCTGGTACTGGTGTGGGGTGAAGGATGGGCCCCGATTCGGAGACACCGTGGCTGTCTACGTGAAGGTCAAGGAGAAGGAGAAGGGTGAGTCTTCAAGGCTAAGGCCTGATTCCCCCTGGTCCCCAGAGAAAGGCTCCTGCCACGTGAGGGCCCAGGTTTGGCTCCAAGAGGCTGGGATAGAAGTGTAGCCCCCACATAGTCTCAGCCCTCCGAAAAGGGCCTCCCAAATAAACACACAAAGCAAGAAAAGAATAGCAGGCCTGTCACGTAACCTCAGCTTCGAGACAAATCTCATAGTTGCCCTGTTGGGCCATTTGGAAACCTTCCTATTGTATATGTAGAGATCTTCCTTTTCGTGTAGAAATTTCCAAGTCATTGTCATATGCAATGCGCTCTGCCAAAGCCGGGTCTCTATAGACAGCAAGACGCCTTCTCCTGCACGGTCTGACAAAGAAAGTTAAGGCAACCTCTTCTAGTAAGCTTGCCTTTCACACCTCTGTCTTAAACGTCGCCTGAAATGTTTTATCCCTAATGTAGGTACTTTCAGTCCCTCTAGAAATGCAATTGTCTGGGGCCTACTGTTCTGCCTCACTGAGGAGCCAAGCGCCATGCTCCCACCAGGGGGCAGCACTATCGCACCCAGCCCTACTTCCCAAGTCAGGAGGCCTTGGGAAGGTTTTTAAAGCTGTGAAAAATCTCCTTGTCCTCAAATGATGGGTGGGTCAGCTCTTATGCACAGTTGGATCTATTATATGATTCGGAGCCTTGTAGATGAGAATAAATAATAAATTTGGTGTTAATGGGGCAGAGATCATTTGTGACAAACAAGAGACCATCACTCCTCCATGTCTAATGTCATCCTGGTCCCTACCCTAACAGCTCTGAAATCTCACTCTTACCCGATGAGTCACAATAAAGTCCCACTCCTAAGAGTCCCTAGCCTCAGAAGTGAAAACGTAGAGAAAGAGCCACAATTCAGCCCCATTCTGCTCTCTCTAGCATCCCAAGATGTCAGCCAAGTGAACGCGGAGGCTCCTGGCAATGAGGTGATTGAGCCACCTGTCCAGGTGATAGAGCCACGTCTCAAGGAGGTCGAGAACAAAGTCGCTCGAGATCCCAGCCTTTTTGCAGAGGACAAACTGGTGAAGGATAATGGAGACCCAGAGGACAGGAGCAAAGCATCTGCAGACGCTGGCAGGTGAGGAAGGATTAGGGGTTCCCCACTCAGAGAGCATCTCAGAGGACAAGGACTTGGGGCTGGGTCCCCAGGTCTGAGCACAAGAGCCTGTCCGCTTCCTGGTCGTGGGGCAGCCCTCACTGCCACTATGGTGCTAGGGAGAGGCTGTTGGTACTCTCAGCCCTTCTCCAGGAGCTGGGGCAGTGTTTACCATCCAGGTCGATTTCCCAGGCCCGGGATGCAGAGAAGGACCAGTCCTTGCCTTCGCCAGGTCTGAGCAAAATGGAGCCAGAGGGTTCTATCAGGAGGAGGGACTGAACCAACCTGAGAGGAAGAACTAGCCAAAGCCAGCACACCATGGGAACCCCAGGTCTCCTTTTCCATGACTAACGCACTCAATCTCTCTTCCAGCTCTGCGGGACAAGGAGGAAGCTCCGCAGTGCTGGTCTCCACGCTGGTGCCCCTGGCCCTGGTGCTAGCCCTGGGGGCCGTGGCAGTGGCTGTGGTTAGAGCCAGGCATAGGAGGAACGTTGGTGAGTCCCGGGATGCTCCCTGCCCCCCACCTTCAAACCTTTGCGGGGGAGGGGATAGGGGGAAAGGGAGGGCTGCCATGTTTTCTGCTCTTTCATAAACTCAAGAAAAGGTTTTGGGAAAGCAGGGTGAGGAAAGATAAACACACAGGTGCCCCAAACTTACATGAAGTGCTGCTGTCCAAATGCTGTCTCTGGAAGGCCACCCCGACGGCTCAGGTCCAAGTTCAGAGGCAGAGCCACTAAAGAGGACAGCAGGGTGCTGGGCACCTGCACTTCCAGCCTAATTTGAGAACCGATTGGATGTGTGGCTTTGGGTGTCCCATTTCACACCTCAAGTTCAGGACAGGAATCAGCATCCACCTCAAAGGGCTGGTGAGAGGACAACACGAGGTGCTGTGCACGGAAAGGTCTAAGAGTGACAAACAGACCAGGGATTAGTGAGTCTTGATTATTCATGAACAGAGACTGGGGAGGGGACTCAGAACACTCCCAGTCTGCTTTGGGTCATAGAGATGTGCAGCCAGAGACCCTGCCCCCCCGCCTCCAAGCTGTCCTGGGGGCTCCCTATGAGAAAAGCAGCATGTCCTGCTCTCAACCCCATCCCTACACCAACTCCTCTTTCCCTGGACAGATCGCGTTTCAATTGGAAGCTACAGGACAGACTTCAGCATGACGGACTTGGAGAACTCCAGGGATTTTGGAGCCAATGACAACATGGGAGCCTCTACCATCACCCAGGAGACATCTCTCGGAGGAGAAGATGGTACGTCACTCACTCGAGAGGATGCCTGACCCCTGGGAGAGCAAGAATTAGAGCTGACTCTGCCCGGCCAGTGTGGTTCAGTGGTTGAGCATAGACCCATGCACCAGGAGGTCGGCGGTTTGCTTCCTGGTCAGGGCACATGCCCGGTGGCAGGCTAAGTCCCAGGTGTGGGGAGTGCAGGAGACAGCCAGTCAATGATTCTCTTTTACCATTGAGGTTTCTACCTCTCCCGCTCCCTTTCTCTTTCTCTAAAAATCAATGAAAACTTTTTTTTTTTTTTTTTTTTTTTTTAAGAATTAGAGCTGATTCTGTGTGGTGGGAATAGGAGGCTAGTGCGGGTTAATTCACCCCCTTCTCTTCACACAGAGTTCCCGGCCACCACCGAGGACACTGTGGAGAGTGAAGAGCCCAAGAAGGCCAAGAGGGTAAGAAAGAGGAAAGAGTGACAAGGAAATACAGCATGAGGGACTGCAGTTAGACATTAGGAAAAACTACCTCAATGTGGGGCTGTGTCAGAGCAGGGAAGGTGGAATAAGACAGAGTTCAGGAGAAATGTCTGAGGCTGAGATGCATTTTACTGGTGTGGCAGAAATAGGAGATGGACTATGTTTATAGGCTGAAAACACACAGGAGGGAGGGAGGCTGGGGAGGAGGAAGGCAAATGCATGAAGTTTGACCATAGGGTGGGAAGGTCAAATGTCAAAGGTTGGTGATTAGGTGCTCCTCCTGAACTGGGGGCCCATGGACTTCATGTCGCCCACCCTCTCTTGAGAGTTTGCTCATGACAGGCCTTTTGCCTGGGCTTGGAAAACCTTTGAGGCTGGTGGGCAATTTGATAGTCACTAGATGTCCCTCTCCACCCCAACCAAGTGTTATTTCACTTGAAATCCTATCAGAGGTGACTTCTGCCTTTGGGTTACTATGACCCTCCCCTCAGCCTCCCTATCCTGAGGTGATAACGTTTATCAGGTCTGTTCTCCCTCACAGAAGCCAACCCCAGCATTTGGATCAATTAGGGTAACAAGTTAGTCCTGGAGACAGCCCTCCCCTCCAGCCTTGTGCTGTGTCCCTGGGCTGGTGGAGGAAGCCTGAACCACTCAACCAATGTGGCTGGTGCCAGCCTAGACCCCTTGCCCTCATGAACTGTGTGGGTAGAGCTTCCGGGGACAGACCCAGGCAGCAGAGGGTTCCACTCCATGTGTCGGAAGGAGGTAGTGAGACCAGAGGGAGATATTTTTAGAAGCTGTGACTTTCCATTTCTCTAGATTAGCCCTTGTTGGTAAGCATGGGGGCTGGCGTAAGAACAGGGAGTCAACACAGGCTTGGTTTGCTGGTGCCAGGATCATGAATTCAGGATATTTACTGTATCCTCTCCCTTCCAACCCCACTCACTGAGCGAATGCTCCAAACACTGACTCCTCTCCTGTTTCCCCACAGTCCTCCAAGGAGGAAGCTGACATGGCCCACACTGCCTTCCTGCTCCAGGCCAACAACATGTCGACCACCGTCCAAGATGGCCCCAGCGAAGTCTAGGCCAAGTGCCCTGCCTCCTCCTTCCAACTTTGACAATCACCTTCAGAATCATGTTAATCCTTAGGGCCCTCAGCTCTGGGGGGCTCACTGCCTGCATGCAACCTCACCTAGGCTTTTCCTACCTAGTCCTTTTTCAGTGGCATCCAATCCTGGCTTCATTGTTCGTGTTGGGGGTGAGATGATCCGAGGAGTCCCTACCTGAGGGAACTTCTTTCTAATGAGACAACTAAGGTGTGGAAGGAGAACAAAATTTTAATAAAGGCCTCCTCAAAAAAAAAAAAAAAAAAAAAAAAGCTCATGATGTGTGGGAGGTAATTTTGAAAAGGAAGGCCATTCAGGGCTTCTCTGTATCCTTATTATGGAATGTCAATGGGATTCTCCTCTTCACTCCACCCCACCATCTCTTATCCCCTCCCTCCCATCCATTCTCTCTTCTTCTTTCCTTCATTGAAAATACATATATGAACTCTGGCCAGGTATCAGTTGATTAGAGCATCATTCTGATACAACAAGGTTGCAGGTTCCTAGACAGGACACATATAGGATGCAATCAATGGATGCATAAATAACAAGGTTGCAGGTTCCATCCCTAGACAGGACACATATAGGATGCAATCAATGGATGCATAAATAAGTGGAACAATAAATCTATGTTTCTCTCAAATTGATCAATCAATAAAATTTAAAAAACACACCACACATATATGTTAATCCTCACCAGAACCCAGGCATCTAGCGGAATGAACAAGGATACTGCACACCCAGCCTGCAGCCTTTGTGTAAACATCAATGAGTCCTTGGAGGCCACAGCTTCTCTTGGTTTATTGTACACACTATGACCTGAAATCCTCATCAGGTATACTCACTTCTCTGACCACATTGGGAGAAATCAGAAAATGTCTGGAGTCCTGAGGCTTTAGGGATCATGTAACATGGGCATATATACAAGTAATCTTAAATACACATTCTTACAGGGTAGAAAATTAAAGAGGTTTGCTCAGGGGCACCAAATGAGTTACACTGATTTGGTGACTCCTGTTTTCTTGGCCAGGGATCTCTCTACAAGAACCCCTGCTCTCCTGATGAAAACAGGAATCTAGAACAAGCAGAAGGGAGTGAAGGGGTAGAGGAAGACAAAATTGCAAATGGAAGCTGGTCTTTCCCAAGCCCCACCTCTGGAAAGACAACCAGTTCCCTTTCTGACACTCACATGAACCTAAGAGGATAAGAGAATGGTCCAACACTCACAGCCCCTATATTAGAAGAGCATCAAATGGAAGGGAAGATAAGAGGGTATTTTGTGGTGCCAAGGGAGGATCTGATCTCCAAAGAGCTAAAGTTTAAGGTCTTTTTCCCTCTGAGCTCTGCACCTCAACCAGCTGACACTTGCTAACAAAGAAAAATGTGACTGAATTAATAATTAAAGACCATGATTTCCACCAAAGAGGCTTAGACTGCATTTGTCCCCAATACCTTCTGTTTCCAGGACAACGCTTTCAGAGCAGTTTGCATGGATTCCACTTTCAGGCACCCCATAACATGCATCTAAAACAAAAGCCTCTTCTATCTCCAATACTGGGCTGAGGAGAGCTATGAAACACTCTCCAAATGGAACCAAGATGATATTCAATAAAAGAATAAATTGGTCACCATCAATGATCAAGACCCCAAACCTCTGTGTAATAGAGCATAATTAAGACTATTTATAATAGAACAAACTGAGAGCAGGTACCATCAGTGCTCCTCTTAGGCATTAAAAAAAAAATCTTGGTGAAGCATCCACAGAATACTTGACCTTGAATTCCATACCTTCCTGGGGTATCCTCCAAGATCAAGAAACTGTTCATCAAACTCAAGTTACCAAATAAATAAACTCCCCCTCCCCCCATAGGAATATCACCTTAGATGCTACTTAAAGAATAACTTGGGTTTTAGAAAGGAGGGCCAGGTATGATCCAAAATCACTTGGAGGACAGTGATTAGATTTAAAAGAAGAAGAAGAAGAAGAAGAAGAAGAAGAAGAAGAAGAAGAAGAAGAAGAAGAAGAAGAAGAAGAAGGAGAAGAAGAAGAAGAAGAAGAAAGAAAGAAAGACAACAACAAACACCATTGTCTACTGAGGCTATTCCTAGGTTCTATTGTAGCACTGAAATTTGTCATAACCTATAAGCCCCCACCCCAGCCAAGACTCCTCTTCTGGGCTCTGTGTATGGAGAGTTCTGTCTGGGAGAGTTCTTCCCAGCCCTCTATCCTGCCTGAGGTGGGGCACAACCTTCACTTCCACCTAGTCCTTGAACATGATGCTTCTGATGCCACATGCTTCCTAAGCCTACCCTTGACCAGACTCAGACATCAATCCTCCTAGTCTCCCCTTCAGCCACACCAATTGTAATGCCCAGTCTTGAGCCTTGGGTTCCTCCCTGGCTAGGAGAGGTGGTCATCTGAAATATTTCTCTGTTCTCTACAATGATGATACTTACCTAGCTTCTCCTGAATGAGAGCAAATCATTCCAGGAGCACCAAAGCTACAGGTGTGTGTCAAAACCTATCACAGCCGAAACCGGTTTGGCTCAATGGATAGAGCGTCGGCTTGGGGACTGAAAGTTCCCGGGTTTGATTCCGGTCAAGGGCATGTACCTTGGTTGCGGACATATCCCCAGTAGGGGGTGTGCAAGAGGCAGCTGATCGATGACTCTCTCTCATCGATGTTTCTAACTATCTCTCTCCCTTCCTCTCTGTACAAAATCAATAAAATATATATTTTTTAAAAAATCTTAAAAAAACAACAACAAAAAAAAACCTATCACAGTCTTACCCCTAGGAAATTGCTCTCTGACTCACCAAAGGGTCACGCCTGGGCAGAGGTTAGTCTCCACTGCTCTCCGACATTATTCCAGGCCCTGTGCAAAGCCCTTTGCAATGCTGATTCCTGCAATCCTCACAAAACTTTATGAGAAATATTCTTCTTCTCCCATCTGTAACATAAGGAGGATAATGAAGCCTAAGTTACTGGACATTAAATTTGACTAGAGCAGAAGTGTTCTAAGTCCTCTGTACCAGTTATGTGGTATTATTCATTGTCTCCATCTACCTGTCATTGGGCTGTGAAGTTTTCCATCCTGTCCATCCCTTCTTTTTCCCCCAAACTGGAATTTGACAGTGTCATTTACAATAAAAGTGAGTCTTTTAAAAAATATATATTTTATTGATATTTTTCAGATAGGAAGAGAGAGGAATAGAGAGTGAGAAACATCAATCAGCTGCCTCCTGCACTCCCCGCAACCAAGGTACATGCTCTTGACCAGAATCAAACCTGGGACCCCTCAGTCCGCAGGCTGATGCTCTACCAGCTGAGCCAAAAACGGTTAGGGCTGTCCATCCCTTCTGATTACTCATTGCTCATAGAAGATGTTTGACCATCAAGCCCCCTTCCATTAGGAGCACCAGGGAGATACAGCAGCCCTTTAATCAGGAAGGAGAAATGAGGTTAAATGGGAAACAAATATGAGAGGGAGAAGAGAAGGATAATAAACTTTTCCCACTTTGCAATCTAGCCAGGCATCAGCTTTCCCTGAGGCTCAACCCTGAGACCCTGGGGCAGCATGTGGAGGCAGAGAATGGGCAAGCCAAGGTCTGGAAGTTTTGAGACTCCAAATATTCACTTTCTATCTACACATCCTAAGACCCCTAATTCTTGCTCTTAACAACCCAACGTGATGTTTCTGAGGGTTTTATTTGGGCCACACAGGAAGTAAAATCTCTCCTACCCACTCATCCCACACATTCTCAGCACCTCCTGGCAGGCCCCAGCCACAGCAAAGCCAATTCTCATCTTCACACACCACATGTTCATACGTCACACACTCACACTACACAGCACACATTCAGCCACCCGTCACATATTCACACATCACACACATCATTATGTCACACATCATTCATTCACACACTAACATCACACATAACATTCCCACTGCACACCTTCACACTATCATACACAACACTTACCTTACACTCTCATACACTCACACATTACAGCTGTATACCACTCATCTCTCACACATTACACACTACACATTCACGTTCACATACACTCATGCCCACAATCACACCCACAACACATTTCTTCATTTGTTCTTTCTCTCTCCAAGGCAATCCCAGGCATGGAACCCACAGTTGCCCAGCTATGTGACAGCTGGGCAGAGTCCTCGAAGTCAGAAAGGGTGGAGGCTAAGGGGACCTGAGACCTCTGGCCTTCACTCACTCTAATCAGAGGCCTGAGGCTGTCCACTGACACATTGGTTGCAGGAAGTCATGAGTACAGCTGCTCTGGGCCAGTGGAGACACAGATAGAGTGGGCGGGCAACCACATATGCTTCCTCTGCACCTGCTCTGCAGACGTCATTGCTTTGTGTTTTGGAGAGCTTGTGATAAATCTGGTGTGTGGGGGCCAGGGGGATGGAGAGAGCTGTGTTCAAAGGACCACTGAGGAGCCTGGAGGCTGTTAGCCACCTCCACTCAGAAGGATGTGAAGAAGCCTCAGTCCCCCGTGGGCACCAGAGGCAGCAGTGCCTAGAGGTGGGGCCCTGGGAACCGACCTGGGAGCAACATCCAGGAAAGAAGCTTTGGAAGTTCTCTGATAAGTAACAGCCCCGAACATCTCTATATTAAAGTTCTTTTAAAGTACTTCCATGAGCTTGGTTCCTGCTGGGTTTCATGAAAGCAAGGCATGGCCCATCCCTATTTTATCAATGACAAAACTGAGGCTCAAAGCTAGAAAGTGTCAAGGCAGGACCAGAGCACAGGACTTCTGACTGGAACCCATGATACATCGTGGCTGACTCTCTCTTCAGTTACTGGGCTATGCCCTTGGACAGTTGAGGTCCTAAAGGTTTAGCTATACCAGCCTGCTGTGACTTTAGGCAGAGTTCTGTCTAACACTCTTTCCTGTCATCACCCCTCCGGTCATTGGACAGGAGCCTGGGCTCCTGCCAGAGCCAGCCCCTTAGGGAGATATAAGAGATATAAAGGGTGGCTGATACGAGGTTTAAGACCCCAGGAGCAATGTTTTGTAGGAGGGAAAACCAGGGATCATCTAGTCCCACCTTTATTTCTAGATAAAGAAACCAAGGTTCAAAATCCATAGTATTCCCATATAGTAGATGCTCAAATAATTGTCAGATAACTTCAAGGGCCACAACCAGCGCCTTTGACTCAGGCACAAGTTTCTGTCCACAGAGCCTCCCTCAGACCAAGAAGAGTGGTGATGAGGCTCTTTTATCCTGAAGACAAGAAAAAAATAGGACTCTGGCTAAGACATCAATGAATACACATAAAGCAGGGGAGGCCCCTCCAAGAGAAAGTGCCCAAAACAAAGAAATGTATGCCTGGCATTTTCCAGTGGTCTTTGAACCTGGTAACCCAATCTCGTTCAACACAACATGTTTTCTCCACTCCTGACTTCCGTTGTGGTTTGCTGATGTTTTCTTTTTTGGTCTAAGACTAGCAAGCAAATAAGAGGATAGTCATTTCCTCATTTTCAAGTCTTCATCCTCACATGGGCCAGAAATATCTTTCAAGCCCCAGATTGTGACAGTTCCTGGGTGAGCAGTGGATCTTTGTCCCCCTCTCCTGGGCCCTTGAATGGGACCTTGTTCTGGAAGGAGCCATGGACCTCTGGCTTTGGTTCATCTACTTCCTGCCCACAGGTAAGTGATGTGGGGGAAGAGCTCACGTGGCTTATGAGGTTTGAATTGGACACAGGTAGAGAAGTGGCTGGTGTCTCCAGCTCTGAGGTTTCTGGACAGATTTAGTTGCAGACCAATACCTAGGGCAGGACATGGACAGAGGCCAGATGAGGCATTGGAGGACCTCCCACTCCCTGCTAGCATCCCTCTCTCCATTCCAGACACATCTCATTCTGGGTTCACAAGGGCTGAAAGTGTCACTTCACCCCGATGAAGAGCCTATTAATTTGGAACCTTAAAGCAAGTGCCACCAAAGTTCTTTCTTCTTAGCTCTACACTCCTTTTCTTTGGATCTCTTTCACTCCTGATTTTCAACTTTCAACTCTAAATGAAGACTCCCTACTCCATTCGGTAGCCCTACTCCATTTCCCGAACTCGGTATCTCAGTTTACAGCTGTCTCGTTGGTCACCATCCAAACCAGCTAATCTCTCTATCACTGATAGGAGCTGCAAAATGTTAGAATGGCTTTTCACAACCTCTTTCCATTTGTCCCCAGCCATACTGCAATTCAATCAATGGCCAATTCACGTACTTTCTAGATTTCCACTTACCAGGATAAGAAGCAATGGCTGCCTCTACTAGAGAGGTAACAGGGGGAATGGAAACAAAAAGAACACAGTCATCTCCTACCTATTTTTCCCTCTTCCTGCAATTTGACCTACCTATAGTTCCAGATTAATTTTCCTAAGAACTTGACGCCAATCATAGGATTGCCCTCCAAATGCCTGCTGGATTACATACCTCTCCCCTGTGTTTCTCTGTATTTCTGAGCTTATCACCTTCCCCAGCACTTCCCTAACCTCCAGCCAAGCAGGACTTCTTGAACATGTGCTAGTCTAGACTTACTGCCACTAGTCTTTGATCATCCCATTTCTTCTGCTGGGAACATTCTTCTGCTCACCTCTACCTTCTATGAGTCCTTCAAAGATAATCTCAACCATCGCCTTCCTTACTGTACACTTTCCAGAACCTCCTCTTTTGAAGCCCAATAGCTGATCCCATTCTGCCTTGCATTCTGGTTTGGGGTGTTGCCCACATTTTGTTGATTAAACACTCATCTCCTTGATGGTCTAAATGTATTTTTTTATTCAGACTTGCTTTCTTTCTGATGGCTTGAATATGGAAGAAAGTCAAATGTTTGTCAAATTGAAGATCAAAAACCCCTATAAAGCCCAAGGGAACAGAGGTTTAATGAAGCGTCAGACTGAGTGAGAGGTAGTAGGACAAAAGTGAGCACAATGTGAGTAAAATTAAACTCAGACCTCAGGGGGAAGAGGGGTTGGGTGGGAGCAGAAGGTGAAAAGTACCTAAATTGTACCATGGCCATCTGTTCTAAGCAACACCATCGTTCTATCTGGGCCAGAGGAGTCCAGGCTCTGGGCCTGGCTCTTCTCCATTTGTTCTCATACCCACAGGGTGAGGATTCACAGGCCCAATGTTATGTGCCCATACCAAATCCACCCGTAAACCCCTCTTCTAGACCCTGAATTCTTTTTTTAAAATATATTTTATTGACTTTTTACAGAGAGGAAGAGGACAGAGAGTTAGAAACATTGATGAGAAAGGATCATTGATCAGCTGCCCCCTGCACACCCCCAACTGGGGATGTGCCCACAACCAAGGCACATGCTCTTGACAGGAATCGAACCCAGGACCTTTCAGTCTGCAGGCTGACGCTGTATCCACTGAGCCAAACCGGTTTCGGCTAGACCCTGAATTCTTTGTCCAAATGTCTGCAGGCCCACTTTCAATGACTGTGTGTTCTTCCATCCCAGGGTCTTCTATCCTTTGACCAATTAAAGGGTGGCACATGTGTCTGCATGGGAAGGAGATAGATGGAGACTATACTTGCCAGCTGGGGAATCCATCGTGTATATACCAGTACCCTTGTGGTGCTGTCAGGAGCCAGGGATGATAGAAAAGCAGAGAGATAAGCAAGAGGCTGGGGCAGGGAGGTTGGGGCCTTTTTTTACCTTATAGCCATGTTTTAGAGTGAACACGCAAGGAGTGTGTAAATTTGTAAACAGAGGGGGATAGTACAAACTTTATTTAACAGTTTATTAGCTTTTTTAATACCTTTAAAATATTTAGACATAAAATATATGGGCTTTTATTTGCATTCATGGTCCCCAGAGTCCAATGCATGAGGCCCAAGCTATAGGCCACCTGCCTGGAGCCTAATAAAGTAAGGCAGTATCTCAAGGTATAGACTTTCAAACCTTGTTTACCAATAATAATAATAGTAATAGTAATAGTAATAGTAATAATAATACATGCATACACTGGATGTTGTGACCCAGTACACACACACACACACACACACACACACACACCTACATTCTGTTCTTGATTTTCATGTGGGGATGAGTTTTGGGCTTCAGCAGTTAGATGAATGTTGGTGCTCTTTACTGAGATGGGAAGAACTTGTAAAGAAATCAGTTTTGTTTTATTCTTTATTGTTTTTCTTCCCCCCCACCCCCCATGAAATTTATTGGGGCATGGTTAATAGGATCATATAGGTTTCAAGTGTGCATTTCTATGATACATGATCTGTGTATTGCACTGTGTGCCCGCCACCCAGTTAAATCATCTTCCTTCACCATATATTTAGCCCCCTTTCCCCACTCATCACTCTCCCACCCCCTTCCCACTGGTATCTACCATACTTTTGTCTGTTTATATGAGTTTTAATTCTATATTCCACATATGAGTGAAATCATATTGTTCTTAGCTTTTTCTGATTTATTTCACTTAGCATTTTCAAGATCCACCCAGGTTGCCATAGATGGCAGTATGTCATCCTTTCTTATGACTGAGTAGTATCCCATTGTGTGTATGTCTACATCTTCTTTATCCAGTCCTCTACCAAAGCACACTTTGGTTGCCTCCATGTCTTGGCCACGATGAATAACGCTGCAATGAATACAGAGGTGCATGTATTTTTGTGAATAAAGGTTTTCAAATTTGGGGGGTAGATATACAGAAGAGAGGTGGCTGGGTCACATGGTAGCTCTTAAGGACTGGCCATTCTGTTTTCCATAGTGGCTGGACCAGTCTACATTCCCACCAGCAGTGAATGAGGGGCCCCTTTTATCCACAACCGCCCCAGCACTGTTTTTACTTGTCTTGGTGGTAACAGCCATTCTAACAGGTGTGAGGTGGCATCTCATTGTAGTTTTGATTTGCATTTCCCTAAGAGCTAGTCAAATTGAACATCTATTCTTATATCTGTTGACCTTTTGTATGTCTTCTTGAGAGAGTTGTCTCTTCAGATCCTCTCCCCATTTTTTAAAAGAATTGTTTGTTTGGTGCTGAGTTGTATGAGTTCTTTATATATTTTGAAAATTAACCATTTGTCTGGCTATTGTTTGCCAATACCTCCCATTTGGTTGGTTGCCTTTCTGTTCTGTTGGTTTCTTTTGCTATGCAGCTTTTTTAGTTTGATATAGTTCCATTCATTTCTTTCTGCCTTTACTTCCCTACATGCAAAAGAATGAAACTAAATTACAATTTATCCCCAACTACAAAAATTAATTCAAAATGGACCAAAGACCTACATATAAGATCTGAAACAATAAACTATTTTAATACATAGAAAATACAAGTTTTAAACTTATGGACCCTGGTTGTAGAAAACATTTTATGAATTTGACCTGAAAGGCAAGGGTAGAAATGGGTTTTGGAAGAGAAATCAAGAGTCCATTTTTTTTATTTATTTATTTATGTATTTATGTATTTATTTATTTATTTATTTATTTTTGCCATTGTTTGTTTGAAACCATATTAGATATTCAAATGGAATCTAGGTGTAAACATTGGAAAGGCAAGTCTGGAGCCCAGAGGTAAAGACAAGACTGGAGATACATGTTTGGGTGAACTCTGTATAGAGTTGGCACGAAAAGCCACAGGAGTAAATAAGCCAGTATTCGGGGAGTGGTGGAGGACAGAAAAAGGAACAGGCCCAAGTACGAGGCCCTGGGGTGGTCCAACACTGGGATGTGGCTAGAGAAGTAAGTAAGGAGATTGAAAAAGAGCAGCTATTGAGAGTGTGGTGTCAGGGGAGACAAGGGCAGAACGTGTTTCAAGGGCTCAATTTCATCAAGTGCTGCAGGAGGGTGAGTACAATGAAGACAAAGAAGCGACCGTTAAACATGGTGATAGGAAAACGCTGGGTGGCTTTGATGAGAGCACGTTCAGCGGAATGTTGGAGACAAACTTCTGACAGGTGTAGGTAGAAGAGGAACTGGGAGGCGTGGACATGGATTCAGTGATTTTGATGGCTCGTTTGAGAAAGAGAACAGAGACAGGTGACAGCTGAAGGGGAGGCAAAAGTCACCCGAGGGGTTTTCAATACGGCACTATGGCGCATGTGTGGAAGCCATGGCGTTGCGGGAAGAGGAGAAAGCAATGAGGCAGGGAAAGAAAGGGCAATTGCAGGAGAGAAGTTCTGGGGAAGGTGAGCAGGTGAGCTCAGGGGACAGATGAAGGCACTGGCTTCTGATAGGAAGGGGGACACTCCATTCACTGTGAAAGGACAAAAGACAGGCTGCAGGTCTGGACACACATAGGCTGGTGTATGCAGAAGTGAAAAGTTGATTTGGATGTTTCTCATCTTCTTATCAAAGCCTGCTCTGTCTGATAAGTGTAAACGTCTCAGGCCAGCTTCCTTCTTTCAGAGATTCTGCTATGACTTGAGTTATAAGCTCCTCATTATCACTCCTCTCTGAAAATTATCGCTTTGTGGAATCCAGAATCCATCTCCTGAGTTCTGTCACCAGTCAAGGCCATGTGACCATTGACCTTATTTTGCATTATGAAAATTATATTATTTTCATGTTCCAAACACCCATTTATATCTAATTATGTAATTAGTAACTTTTGAAATTGCATATACCCTTTCCTCCCCTACAGCGCCAGTATAAATCAAGTTGCCAAATTACAGATAAATGTCACTTACATAGTAGCTAAAATGCCATTAAATAGCTTGGTCCCTTTATATAGCCTTTCACCCCTCCCTTTCTCCTAGGAATCATTTGGAAATGTAGTTTTAGCCCAGAATCACAAAATGTTAAGGACACCTGGATGCTTGTTTACAATGAGGTGCCTAGACTCAATCTGGATCGAGCAAGTTCTCTCCACATGAATCTTAGCATGCTGTGCATAGTTCTAAACCAGGAAGTTACATCTATCTTTCTTCTGTTGGGGAAATATGCTTTTCTAAGCCTTGGATGCCCGTTACAAGCTACTCTGAAGTCCAAGGAGAGCTGGGGTCTGGTCATTTTCATCTTGCCAACTGGTGCTTCCTTGGGACCAGAGCTCAGTGTACCCAGCAGCTTTTCTTGTGCTTACCCCATCCAGCCTTTGCACAATGAGGATGTCTTAGTCAACTCGGGCTGCTGCAACAAAATACCATAGATTGCAGGGTTTAAACACCAGATGTTTATTTCTCACAGTTCGGGAAACCAGGTGTTTAAGATCAAGGTGCCAGCAGATGCTCTCTTCCTGGCTTGCATTTGGCCACTGTCTCCCTGTGCGCCTGTTTGACCTCTTCTTGTATGTAGAGAGAGAATAGGGACACTAATCTCTTCATGAGGGTCCCACCTCATGACCTCATCTAATCTAATCAACTTCCAAAGACCCCACTTCCTAATACCAGCACGTTGGGGGTTAGGATTTCACCACACGGATTTTTGAGGGACACAAACATGCGGCCCACAACAGAGGATCTGGGCAAGCCAGGGGTGAGTGGAGGGCGGCCACAGGAGGTGCCTGGCTAGGGGCTGACCCCTCTCTGCTCTGTCGGGCACATGGCTATTTTATAGCATCTTGCTCTTGGGAAAGCAGCATCCGTGCCCATTTCTCACTGAGTTGGTCCAAAAATGTTAATGTGCTTATTCATAGGTATTGAGATTTACATGCATGTGTGGGCTGTCTGGACACACCAGGTGGTTCCCCAACCCCCTCAATTGGGTCTTTGTCCTTTGCACAGGTCACCCTTCCATTGCCATGTTACAGTCACGAGACGACCACACATGCCTCAAGTCCCAGCGGATTTAAAGCAGTGTTAGGTCATTTGTGTAAGGGTTTCTGTGTCAGATCTTACATATGTGGCTGGCCCCTCTGCTTCTCCCTAGCATGTTACAACAGTTGCACTTCTAGATAGTAACATGCAAATGCTCCTTCCAGCCCCTCTCTACCCTTCTCTCCCACACCCCATGTTCCCATAGCTATTTCTTCTTCCCTCTCCTTGAATGTCTTCCTCGGGTCTCTGCTCATCTAGAAGCCACAAGCCCCCACTTCTTTCCTTGACTCTCAGCAGCTATTCTTTTTTATTTATTTATATTTTTATTGATTTCAGAGAGGAAAGGAGAGTGAAAGAGATATAGAAACATCAATGATGAGAGCAAATCATTGATCAGTTGCCTCTTGCATGTCTCCTACTAGGGATGGAGCCTGCAGCATGTGCCCTTGACCAGAATCAAACCTGGGACCCTTTGGTCTGCAGGCAGATGCTCAATCCATTGCGCCAAACTGGCTAGGGCCCTAGCAGCTATTCTTGATGTGTGATCTGTGGATGAATTTCAGGAAGTTCATGATCTTCTCTCCCCCCGCCCCCATTAACATGTGTTCATCCTGGCCCATATGGGGGCTGTTCTCATTGTTGGAAGCATCTCTCCTCCTCCATTCAAGGCCCCAGCCCCACCGCAACACACACATTACCCTAGGAACCATCTTGATAGAAATATGCAGACACATATTGGACCCCCTTAACTGGCCACTAGCCCTACCTTCCTCTCCAACTGCATTAGACCTGCTTTCTTTGGCCAAAGCAGAGCTTTTGATGTCAGGGATTCATGAACCACATCTTTTATCCCTCCCCGCTCCAGCCCCTCCCCAAGGCTCACACACTATGCACACCCATGCACATAGGCACACAAACCCACATACACCTTTGCTTTCCTTCTCTGTCCCCCACTGCAGTGAAGACCCTCATTACCCCCTCGTTGCCCTCCATGCCCAGGCCTTCAGGTCACAACTGAGATATCACTTCTTTCAGAAAGCCTTCCTCAAACTACACCATCCCGCTGCGACAGCTTGGACCAGGTGCCCTGTTTGATGCTTCCAAGGAGCCCTGTGTGTCTATCTCTTCGTGGGATCTATGGCACTGTGCTATAGTAGCTGTCCATTTGTGGGGTGTGAGTGTGTGTGTGTGTGTGTGTGTGTGTGTGTGTGTGTGTGTGTTAAGAAGAATATAGAGTTGCAGCCATGAGATCGTAGTTTTTTGTTTTTTTGTTTTTTTAAATTATTATATCAGAGAGGGAGAGATAGAAATATTGAGAAAGAATCAACAATTAGCTATCTCCTGCATGCCCCCTACTGGGGATCAAGCCTCAATATGTGCCCTGACAGAAATCAAACCATGACCTCCTAGCTCATGGGTCAACACTCAACTACTGAGCGACACTAGCCAGGAGTGGCTACCCATTTGTACCACCCACTAAATGAGTCTTTCTGTGAGGGGAGGAATACCAACTATCTATTGTCCCTTGAAAGGCATTCAATATATGCTTATAGAGATAACAAATAGAACTGGGTGGGAATGGTTGTTCTGGCTGAATGGATCTGAGCAAAGCAAAACTAAACAGCAAAATGGTTCCATGCAGCAAAATGGTTCCATGCCTCCCAATGCCACGCCAAAGTCACCTGGGTTGTGCACTGTTTGCGTTTACCATGGAATATCTTCTCTCCTTGGAGTGGAGTACTTTTTTTACCATGTTCTTAGGGGGTTGGTGTCCTCCTGCACATGGGTTTGGTGATGAGCTGAGGGTTATGTTCAGGCCTGGGCTGGGGAGGAGCGTGGCTGAGACAAGTTTGGGCACAGAAATGAACATAGAGTTGGACCGAGGCTGTAAAGAGGGGTGGGCCTGGGAAAAGGTTGGGGATGAGGCTAGGGGTAGAGATGAGGATTGCACTGACGCAGAGGGCTGGTTGAGGTTTGTGATGATAAAAGGAACGGGCAGTTCTGGGGATAAGCATGAGGCTGGACTGGGGTCCGGGCTGGAAAGAGGGCTGGAGTTGGGAGTACGGCTGGTAATGAGGCTTCCTGTCCATTCGCTCCCTCTTCCTGCAGTATCTGGAGCCCTGATGCTCCCAGAAGTCAAGCTGGAGGGGATGCTGGGCGGATCTATTACCATCGAGTGCCCACTTCCTGAAGTGTACGATAGGGTGTATCTGTGCCGCGAGACAGCCAAACCGCAAGTGTGTTCCACCGTGGTGTCCAGCGTGAATTTTGTCAGGGAAAAATACAAGAACCGAGTCACCCTGAAGCTGTGTCCAGACCGGAATGTGTTCCTAGTGGAGGTGACAGAGCTGACCGAGAGTGACAGTGGAGTCTATGCCTGTGGGAAAGGCAGTCACACAGACTGGGGCAAGACCCAGAAAGTCACCCTGGATGTTCGCAGTGGTAGGTGCCCGACCTGATGGAGGCTCAGGCCCCCGGCAAACCTTTCCGTTCGGGAAAGTTAAGACGGCCAGTGGTCTCTGGCAGTCCCCAGACTCTTATGCTAGCACCATATTAGTCAGTTCAATAATAACCGAGATTTGTATAGGTGGACCCCATAGAGTCAGTTAAATTCATGGTCCACGGAATTGTCTATGCAAACAAGATTGGCGCTCTCCTTGTGTTGTATTGCATCCATCCTGCCCGGGGCATGAGGCAGGGAGTGGGGGCTGAGATTGAGGAGAGGTTCTGAGACTGGAGAAAATGGGGAGCAAAAAGACATAATGGTCCCAGGAGAAATATCAGGGGTGCACATGAAGGAAAGGCAGTCATTTCTCAGGCCACATCTGTAGGCCAAACGTGTTGCTGTAGGTTCTGATCCTTTCTATATTTCTGCTGAGTCCTGTCTTTCTCCACCGACTCCCTCACACATCAGCAGCACCGATTCAACATCCTAAAAACCCAGTGGCCTCCGGGTGGGTTGGGCTGGGGTAAAAGGGTTTCTTTGTCTGCTCCTCTTGGCGGACTCTGTCCTCATCCCCTCACTGCCACCCACCTTGGCTGAGTCAGCTTCAGCTCAGACCACTGCCCCTTCCCCAGGCTTCCATCTCCTTCCAGAGCCCACCAGTGCATTCCTCATGCCACCTGTAGAGTATGACCCATTCTGGGAAGAGGAGAAGCTGCCACCCTGGTTTCGGGAAGTTCCACCCAAGGAGATGCCACCCTGGTTTCGGGAAGTTCCACCCAAGGAGATGCCACCCTGGTTTCGGAAAGTTCCACCCAAGGAGATGCCACCCTGGTTTCGGGAAGTTCCACCTATGGAGATGCCACCCTGGTTTCAGGAAGTTCCACCTATGGAGATGCCCCCTTGGTTCCAGAAACCTGTACTTGCCGGTTCCTTCGAAGTCCTCTCCAAAGGTCAGTTCCCGAAGCTGGAGTGGGAGAGGAGGTGGTGATGGGGCGCTGTGAAAAGGGAAGGAGGTTGTGTTGTTCACAGAGTGATCGGCAGAGCAGGGCGGAGTCTGGGATTGTGTGCTTCTCTGCCTCAGGAGAGGGTACCCCCCTGAAGTCTGTTTCTGTGTCCTTCAAGCCCAGCCTACAGCCTGGACACCCGGCTCTAGTCACAGAACTTACATCACCACTAGGTGGCACCGCAAGCAATGGAGTTTGTGCTCCATTCACAAAACCCAGCTCTTTTATGAATGACTGCTGAAACAGAAATTGGGCAGAAGGCTCCCAGCTGGAGCTCATTATGACTCCTGCTGCCCACAGGGCTGTCTTCCACTTGCTGGCATACAGTGATTTTAACAACTCTATTTTGCAATGAAAAAAAAAATGATTCTACTAAAAAAAAAAAAAAAAAAAAAAAGATACCTTTACATTCTATATCATTTTCCTGTTTCAAATGCATTTTGACATGCAATATTGCCATCACATCTACCCTGTGGGGTAGATAGATTAGTGTCACTATAGGACCCTGCTGGGCGCCAAGAGGGATATTATGTGCCCCTGACAGGTGTGGGAGGGGGGAGAATAGACAAGCACATGGCAGAAAACAAGTTTTCTCCAGGCTCAGAGGAGGGCAGGCTGTTCTGCCTGGGAAGTCGGGGAAGGCTGCCTGGAGAAAACGATGTTTGAAGCAGATCTGGGTAGAATTTCTTGGGTGTGGACAGCATGCTAAGAAGGCATGACAGGCCCCGAGGAGTGCAAGAACGAAGGTCGCCTAGGTGACAGGGGAGAGTGTGTTCAGGACAGAGATGGTAGCCCACCCCTGCTGGAGACTAGGGTGTCAGATGGAAGATCACTTTTTCCTGCTGTCTCCTGCAGAAACCTCACCCGCTCCGACGACGAAGGCCCCTCCAGCACAGCACTCCTCCCCCACCACCCCAATCACCCACCGCCCTCGAGTTTTCAGGTCAAAGCCCACTACCCGCCTGTCACCCACCACAAGCTCAAAGACCTCAGCACCGGAGGGGCTGCTCAGGCCCCAGACAGCCAGCTACAACCAGCACACCAGGCTTCACAGGCAGAGGTGAGAGGCCTCCACACCCAGGATGGGCTAGAACCCGGCAAAATAGTCTAGAACTCGGAGACCCACTGAAATGTCTACCAGCCAAGACCCCTCTTGGCTTTGTCTCTAGAAGGCCTCTGTGACATAGACTGCCTGTGAGCACAGCACATTAATTCTGCAGTACCCTGAACATGAATATACTTGCCAGTGTCCCAGAGGGCGATCCTGTAGAAGCCAGACCCCACATTTGCAGTCCCTCTGCATTCCTTCACATCTGTTTCGATGGGGAGAAACTAAACGAGAATAAAATTAACGACTGAACTGTTAAGTGTTATAACTATCTTCACGTGCTTCCTTTTACCTTTTCAATCTAGCTATTAGGACATTTTCAATTACGTATATGACTCAGGCTATGCTTCTTATTGGACAGCACTGCTCTCAAGGCTAGATGCTCCAGGAAAGTGCTGCAATAGACCACTAGGGGGCAGCATTTTCTCCTCCCAACGAAGGAGGCTGGAATGTAAATGTGAACCCAGGTTTCCTGACTCCAGAAACAAGGCTCTTTGTTGGGAGGAGAAAAACACTCCGTTAACAAAGGGACAATCTGAGCCACCTCCAAAAAGTGGCCACTCAACAGTGCTTCCTTAGGCCTCCCTCCTCCCTGACCGCCCTCTCCCCCTTCTGCCTCTCCTGTCCCCCCTCAGAGCCTCCCACCACGGCCCAGCTGGCCCAGCGTCCCCAAGGGAAGACCAGGGGTTTCAGCTCCTGATCCCCATCTTCCTGAGCCTCATCCTACTGACACTTCTGGGGATGCTGGTGACCAGGATCATTCAAAGGAAGAAAGGTGAGCGGTCGAGCCCGGAGCACACGCCCCTGCTGGATCCCGGGGAAACCGGGGAGCTTTAGAGGAGCGGTCTGGGGTTCGGGGAACCAGGGATGGGGGTGAATCACCTGGAAGTGGGGACGAAGGATCCGGGGCGCTTTGGTCTTCCGTGGGGGGTGGGCCGGCGCCACGCCCCCTAAGCCGTTCTCCCCTCCCCGTGGCTTTGCGCCGAGAAGCCCTCTCCAGGCGGGCGAGCCGGCTGAGGATGAGCGCCATGGGGGCCTCCCAGCGGCCCCAGGCGCAGCGGCCCCGCGTGTCCCAGCGGCCACGCTCTCAAAACAACGTCTACAGCGCCTGCCCCCGGCGCGACCGGGGGGCCCACGCCGCGGGTAAGCAGGGGCGGTGGGTAAGCTGGCTGGAGGAGGGCCTGGGGACCACAGGGTAAGGGAGGGCGCGGGGTAATGGGGAGGATACGGAGATGGGGGGGGGGGGTGGAAGGGACGGTGATCAGGGGGTGAGAGGGGCATTGGGGGCGGATGAGAACAGGATACGGGGTCCCAGCCTTCGGTTGGATGAGCTGGAGCAGCCAGAGCAGCGGGCACCGAGGGCGCGCAGGGGGAAAGCCAGAGCGCAGGGCCAGCTCCTCCTCCCCGGCCCTCATCCCGGCTTCCCGCTCCCCCAGGTGACCTGGAGGCACCAACCCCGGGCCCCGGAGCTTTGGCACCGCCCGCTCCGCCACAGGTGAGCTCTGCCCCCGCCCAGGTAAGAACTGTTCCGACGGGGCGGTCCCCGAGCTGGGCGCGGACCCGGCACCATCACCCCAGATGCGCGTACCAGTAGCTCCGGGGCTGCGCTTTCCCAGCTGCTACCGCACCGAGTCTGGGAACTAGTCCCCGTTTCTTCCTTCAGGGGTGTCCCTGCAGGGCCTGCCCGCCCATGGGGTAAACTTAGCTACCTGGCTGCTAGCCAAGCATTTTCGCGGGTGCCAAGTAGAGGCTGATGGGTGGTAATTCACACACGAAGGGCTCTCGCGGGAGAGTCTATTTTGAGGAGGCCTGAGGGGGTGGGAGCTACACACTTTTACCTTAATAGGAGGGAGACCTGGGCTCTCTGAGATGAGAGGAGCTCGTTCACCCATCACGGGAGGCAGTGAAGCGCAGAGGATGACCTGGCAGATGGCAAGATGTAGAGAGGATTCAGCACCTGGGGTGGGGAGGGTTCCTTTTGAAATCTAGGGATAGACATAGGAGCTCGTGTTTCTGTCCGTGGCCATTGGCAGATGGGCAAACCATCTTCCCCCCCCCCCCCAAATTCAGGGGGGAAATGATTTTAATCTCTCAAGTAGCCCACAGTAGCTAAAACACTGTTTGCTTAGAAACAAGGAAAAACTAAGTGTAGCCAAAGTCTTTTTCTAAAAAATATATTTTACTGATTTTTTACAAAGAGGAAGAAACATTGATCAGCTGCCTCCTGCACACCCCCTATTGGGATGTGCCCACAACCAAGGTACATGCCCTTGACTGGAATCGAACCTGGGATCCTTTGGTTTGCAGGCTGACACTCTATCCTTTGAGCCAAACCCGCTAAGGCAGCCAAAGTCTTTTTTTAAATTAGGGTGTAGACTAGCTAAAGCAATGGACTTTAAACCAGAGGCCTCACACGATGGAAGTCTGTTTTCTCCCAAGTAAGGGCAGGAGGTCGCCCAGGGGCTAAAACACCTCCTGTCTTGTTGCTTCCCCATCCCTGGCGTCTTGCCTGGACCATGGTCAGTGCTCAACGCCACACTCCAGCCCAGAGAGGGAGGGAAAGAACACTGCTTCTTCCAGACGCATCACTTCCTCCCGCATCCATTGACTGGGAAATGTAGTCGCCAGCTGGGCATTCTTGGGCTAAAATTGATGCCAGCAGCCAGTGACAGCTCTGCCACAGTCAACTCCAGCTGCTTGGGTTTGTGGTCACTCGCCCCTGCTGGAGAGGGTTCACGGTAGCTAAGGCAGGTCCAGCCGTGCCCAGACTCTACCCACGCTGCCCTCATTCACACCCTTTTGTCTAGAACTGCCCTGTGGCCGTACAACCCTCACCCTGTCAGCTTGTTCAACTTTTATCCTTCCTCCTTGCTTGAAACTCTCAGTCCTACCATTAGGGACAAAAATCTTGATGGAACGAGTTCCTAACAAGGTGTGTAAAATGAATGAGTGGCTATTTTAGCCCTCACGGGGAATGTTTTCATTTTTAAACCAAATAAATTGATCTCAAATGGTAAATGATAACAGACAATGGGAGCTAAGTTCAAAAAGCCACAGGTCCTTTCCATGGGCACTTCCTGGGGGCCTACTGTGCTCAGGGGGCTGGACTTCTGGTTCTCAGCAATTGTGCTTGAACATGTGACCCACTCCCTAGCTGGCTTGGCTCAGAGGATAGAGTGTTGTTGGCCTGTGGGCTGAAGGGTCCCAGGTTTGATTCTGGTCAAGGGCACATGCTCGGGTTGCAGGCTGGATTCCCCAGTGTGGGGTGTGCAGGAAGCAGCTGATCAATGATTCTCTCTCATCATTGATGTTTCTATCTCTTTCTCTCTTTTTCCTCTCTGGAATCAATAAAAAATATAATTAAAATAAATACATAAGTAAACATGTGGCCCATCACCACACCAGCCTTCTTGGGTCGTGGGTCAGCCTGGTCCCCTGAGAACGGACCCATCCGGAAGGCAGGTAGTTCTGAAGTTTCTGTCTGGGGAAAGGAGCACCCGGTGCCCACAGGCCCAGCTGCCTTTCTCCCCTTCACCACCCAGCACCTTCCTGGAATGCACTGTCACACCACGTCACTGCCTCTCCAAGCCCTTCCAGCGCGCAGGAGTGACTCACCTGCCTCTGAATAACTCCCTTGAAGATGTATATTTATTCCATCTAATCCCAGAGGGAAACTCCTCTGGCAGCCAAGTCTCCTTCAGGCTGGTGCTTTGCCACGTGACTTCAGTCTGAGCCCCATTTAAGGTAGTTCCTGCCCATGTTAGATCTAAGTGTTCTCCAGTTATCTTGGGTGAGATTCCGCCCTGAAAATCCCCAGGGCGGAGACGCTTGATGGAGCGCAGCCACCTCTGTGTTGCTGCCTTCTGGAAGTCAGCAACCATATGCATGCCCGCCACGGCCCACTGTGGGGATTCGGCTGGAGAAATATAGAATCTCTCCGTACAGACTGAGTGATGCTTCTTGTTTGGTTTTCCCAGGTGTCGGAAAGTCCCTGGCCCCAAGAGCCATCTCTGAAGATCAGCTGCGAATACATGAGCGTTTTCCACCAGCCTGCCGCCATGATGGAGGACGCTGATGCAGATGAATACGTCAATATCTCCTGCCTCACTCACCCCTCCAGCTGTCCCCCTGGGCCCAGGCCTCTGCGCCAATGAGTCTTGTTTGTCTGCTGGTTTCCAACACCTGATCCTAATGTCCCACATCTCCCCTTCCATCCTGTCTCTGCCACATCGCCCTGAGCTTAGCTCACTTCCCTCAGCTCTTCTGCACACCTTTGCAAACACCCGTGGCCTTCAGGTGGCTTCTGGCCACACAGGGCATTTGTCCCGATGCCATCTGCTTCCTTTTCAAGCCCCGTGCCAGGCTGTGGGATTTGCAGACTATCTTTGACCACAGAGGTTTTGCGGCCTTGGCTCTAGACCATGTGGCAGCGAGCCGGAGCCCAGGCATAGCTGTTGCTTCTGGAACCCTTCCCAGGCCTGGGCCTCCTACCAATGGAAGATCCCCGGACTGCAACGTGAAGCCATGCCTCAGCCCTGTGAGCTGGAGGGGGCCTGGTATGAAATGCCCCCTGGCAACACCTTGCCTTGGTCTTCATGAAGGGTGGCACTAGTGAGTTTTACTCATCTTGTGTCCTATGACAGGGTGTGATGTGATGAAGGATTCTAAATTTTCAGAACCATATATATTTCCCAATGTCCCTGCATCTCCTTTAAGTCTCCCTTCCTTGATGCTCCTAAGGATTCTAACCCTAGCATTTTCCCTCTTTTAAAAAAATAGTTTTTGTCACTTCTAGAGGACTCTAAGGGAGAGGTCGACTACAGTACAGTCATACCCTATTTCCCCGAAAATAAGACAGTGTCTTATATTAATTTTTTTCTCCCAAAGTTGCGCTAGGTCTTATTTTCGGGGAAACACGATAGTAGGAGACTTCAACGCCGCTGACATCACCGGATAGATCTTCCAAACAAAAAAATTAACTAGGAAACAGAGACTCTAAAGGACACTCTGGATCAAATGGATTTAATTGGCATTTGTAGAACCTTTCACCCCAAAGCTGCAGAATATACAGTCTTCTAAAAATTGTTTGTGTCACTTCCTTATCCTTCTTCCATCTTAACATGGCTCTTATCTCAGCCATCCACACCGTTACCTCTCTCTGCTTCCAGAAATACACCAGTAACTGGCCACGAGATAAGGTGCATTTCTGGAAGCAGAGAGAGGTAACGGTGTGGATGGCTGAGATAGTCCCAGCAAGGGGGGGAAGGAAAGTGGCCTGGGCTCTGAGGGCCAGGAGCTCAGCAATAGCACTTCCGTCATGGAGGAAGAGGTCCCATCTCCTTCACAGATTCTTACCCTTCAGTCTTCTGCGCAAGGGCATAGGCAGACATTGTATCTTTACGCTGATGTCAACTACAGAGACAAGCCAGAGCCTGAGACAAGAGGATGCCCAATCTTGCTGCTGGGAAAAAGGTCATTCCCAGACACACAGCTCAGCCTCCCTGGGCCCTTGTCCAGAAACAGAAAGGAAAGGCTGCCAGACTTGAGTTCCCTGCCTTTTATTAGCAGGGAATGGCATCACTGATTGGAGAGCCCCCCCAGGTACCACCACACCGTCAGCAATGTCAGCTTGCCCCTGGCACCCTCTCCAGTGGCAGATAAGCATGAGTAGGATAAGAAAGGAGGGCACTCAAGGTTAACTGAGGTGTGAGTGGGGTGGGGAGTGTGGGCACAAAATGAAACATTTCATGAGCTTGCTTTGAGTTGGGCACATTAGATCTTTTCTCATTTACATTTCACACTGGTGCCCCTCACCTCCACCCCACGGCTCTGTTCCTGGAGATGATAGGACAATGGGATAGTCATGCCCAAACGTTCGACCGTATATCCCAGCATCCCTCATTGTTCTCCAACAATTCAAATCAGGCAAAAATATCCAGTTTATCAGGCCTTTACTGAGCACCGTCTCTGCCCCACATGGTTCCCAGGGTCATAAAGGATAAAAGAGAAGACTGGGGCATCGTCTCTGGTGTCATCCCAGATCTTAATTTCACAAATAAATATAACATCAGTTAAAACACTGACGGGAATTAAATAGAGTTGTAATAAATATAGGAGCCTGCTTTGCAGCTTTTTCACAGCATCCGAGGGAGACTTCCATGGTCGTGGCCACTTAAAGAATGAAGTATTGCCGAAACTGGTTTGGCTCAGTGGATAGAGCGTCGTTTTGCGGCCTTAAAGGTCCCAGGGCACATCCCTGGTAGGGGATGTGCAAGAGGCAGCTGTTGATGATTCTCTTTCATCAATGTTTCTAACTCTCTATTCCTCTCTCTTCCTCTCTGTAAAAAATTAATAAAATAAAATAAAATAAGTCTTTGGGGATAAGCCTGGACCAAGAATGGGACCCCCAGGTAGGAGTGGGAAGTGCCCAGAGAACATCACAGGGAGGGACACTCCCGAAATGACGTGGAGAACGAGGAGGGCGTTCCAGTCTGGGAAGTCAGAGCTGGTAGAACTGCTGCATCCAGGTCAGGAGAATGTCCACTTCTCCAAAGGCTTTGGTCAGAGCTGCTTCTATGTCCAACTGAAGGGAAAGAGGAGTTGGAGATCGGCCATGTGAGCCACAAGCACCCCTCCCAGACCTGGCTAACTCCATACCAGGGCGGCGTCCCCTTTGGGATGGCCACTGAGGAACTTCCCCACCCATCACCTGCCCCTCCTCTATGTGTGTTGCCCGCTTTGGGGTTGAATACAATGGGTAGCAGTGCGTCAGCAGCCAGGGAAAAGCATCTGGAGCCCTTGCCAACAAGAACCCTAGAATCCCAGTGTGGGTGGGGCTGGTCCACCTGCTGAGTCCACTGGGTGGCCCATACTGAGGCCTGGGTGGCCCCTTTCCTTCGTGTGTCATTGCTCTTCATTTATTTTTGGGCGGATGTATCTGTTCCTTTAAAAGGTGATCGAAATCATCCAAGTTGGGGGTGGGGAGCTGGGGATGACATTTGGCATTCCTTTGTTGGATTAATTTGGGAGAAAGTCATATATTTTCCCATAACCCCCCCCCCCACACACACACACACACACACACAAATTAAGCCAGGTGAGCATTATGGAAAATGCCATGGAGGGAGATGTAGAGGGTTACAAGGCAGCTCCCTTCTTGACTCTAATTGCCCAGGGTAAGTGTTCAGTAGTGAAATCACCCCGTTAGGGAAACAGAAGAGCATTTTCATTTGAACACTGGCAGGAAAATAGAGGGTGTCATTGGTGGTGGTGTTTATGCAAAGTAAGTGCTAATTATTGTAAATATGGCTGTGCTCCTGCCAAGTCAGGTGGCTTTGGGGCAAGCCTGGAGGAGGCAATTGCATTTGCATTTGCTTTAGGTCTCTGGGGCAAATGACTGCCACAGCTCAAGCGAGCCCTGAGCTCCCAGCCTTCATTACCTGCTTAAACGCTCTCTGGAAAAGCAGAAACCGCCTGCGTGCACTCTCGCGGATGGGAGACATCTCATTTTCCTGCTGGAAAACAGGGAAAAGGTTGTTCCACGTGTTGGATGGGGGCAGAGGCAAGCCCCGCCCACTCCTTCCTAGTGATGCCAGAGGGTGTGTCCCCAAGGAGCCAAGGCTGGATCCCACAGCGGCCTTACCAGGTAGGGGTGATCATCCCATTTTATATGCAAAAACTGAAGGCCAGAGAGCTTGAGCTCCTTGCAGAGGGCCAACCAGCTGGTTGGAAGCAGTGCTAGACTTGAAGCCAGAACTGCTGGTGCCCAAGGCCTGTGCTCTTTTCTCACGACTCCCTGTCGTGTAATAAAAGCCACGACCAGCTTAATTAAGGGGACCGGAGTCTCCTCCAAACACACCATTGCCCATGGGGCCTGGTCCCAGCTTTGTTCTACTCACTTCAGGCTGCAGCTTTGACAGGATGACAATGAAATTGTTGGCCAGAGTAGAGAAGGACCTCAGGATCCGGAGTTCAGCTGCCTTCTTGTGGTAGTTTCTGAACACGGTGTTCAGGTAGAAGTTCAGCAGGGCACGGAGGAGGTAGCAGCTCTCAGCGCCCTGAGGAGGGTCGGGGTCATGGAGGAGCCGAGGCCTAGGCCCACCCCTGCCCTGGGTGAATAACCCCCATGTCGCCAACACAAGGTAGGCACAAAGGAAGCAGGGTCTTCCAGGAGATGCCGCTAAACATGAGACCGAAGGAGCCTTCGCCAGCGTGGACAGCGGCGCCTTTGGCTTTTGGCAGGAACCACAGGCCCAGAGAGCAGGACTTGCCCAGCGTCACACAGCTGGTCAATAGCACACACGGGTCTAATTTCTGAGCCCTTCCCCCCCATCCCTATCTGCTCAATATTTTCTCTCCTCCACCCCCATGACCTCCTTAATAGCCATGTGGGATGATACACCCTGAAAAGCACCCAAAATGTGGTGGTTGTGAATTGGCTGGGTAACGGACTGGAAGGAGAAGAAATGAGAAGGGCACACAGAATCCTTGAACTTGCACTTCAGGCCCCTGGAAAGCCACAGAGCAAAGCTCAGTGCCTTAGGGATCGGGGCAGCATCTGTGTGCTCACTGGCTGACTAGATGGGTGTTGAGAAGACAGAAATGGGAGAGATAAAAAGGATGGAATTGGGAAGAGACCCAAGCAAATGCAAAAGAGAAAGATGGATGACAACTCTCTGACCAAGTGGAGACGATGTTGACAAGCCTTCCTCTCCACCCTCGCCCCATGCCATCACATGCAAGCCCCCCATGCATTAACTTCCTTGGCTCACTGTCTAGCTCTGTCCTGTGTAGGCCCAGCCAGCCTCCCCAGACAACCCCTCACCCCCACCCACAGAAGACCAGCCATGCTCCTTCCCCAAGGAGGTGTGATTACCGAGACATTCTGCAGAACCTCCCTCCGCAGCAGCTGGACACTCATGATGTTATCCTGAGCTTGCTTTGGGAACAGGAAGAAAAGATGTCTCAGTTGGGAGGTGGTATAGAAACCAACAGTACAAATGCATGCTGCCTCCCCAGGCCCCTAAATCTCTCCAGCCTGTGAGGTCTCAGAGGCCAGGGGGGTGCCCAGGAAGGCCTGAGCTGGCCTCCTGGGGCGGACATAAAGGTTTCAGTCACAATCACTAAACCTGGCCCCCAAGGGCAGATGCAATCCCAGGAGTTCTTAGAGCCTTGGTTAGAAACCCGTTTGATTCCTTTGAGACAAGAGGAAATAACCCTATTTGGTTTAAGAATCCCTGAGGGCAAGATTTCACCTCCCTTTTCCAAGAGCGTGGGGAAATCCTGCTTTTCTCACCCATGGGGCTTTCCCTGCAGCCCAGACATTCATTCATTTCAATTCTTAGATTTAGATTCAAAGAATCATCGAGAGGAAGGAGCTATTGAGCACCTTTGTCCCACATCCTCATTGTGCAAATAAGGAAACTGATGGGGGTGGGGGTACTTTATGGGCTGGGTTCAAGGTCACGATCATTCATAAGTGTCCTGTCTCTCCCCTCCCAGGCTGCCTCATTGAGCTCCCACTTTCAGCCCAGCCTCTGGATTGTCCTTTAAGGAGTTGAGTGCATTTGTGAGGCACATAATAGGGTACTTGCAGGCCCAGGAGAAACCCGGTCACATTTCACCAGCAGCCTCCTCACTCAGCATTAACCATTCTTTCTACCTTTAGCCAAGGTGTAAGTAGGTGGTAACAGACTAGCAGGATCCTGCTAAGCAGTAGGTGAAAACTCCGGAAGGCAAGACTCAAAGGACTTCCTGTGACTTCCCATTGCTGGAGCCTCCTGTCCCCCTGGGTTGCAGATGAAGCCTGGATGAATAGGCCCTGCTCTTTATTCCTCGTGGCTGTGTTTATTTCCTTATGGACTGACCATGTCTTTCTGAGCCTCAGTTTCCTCATGTACAAGAGGAAACGTGGGCTTGAGATATTTCTAACTTCACAATGTTATCCCAGGGAAATGATTAGGTACAAAGGGCTCCATATCATAAACTCTTAGCCTCCCCACACAGTAACCCCAGCAGCTGGGTCCAGAAGGACACTTCACTCACCACAATGTCCTTCATGGCCCGGAAGGCCTGCCACAGTTCCTGGAAAGCGACCCCCTCCACGCGGCAGGGCCCAAATTGGAATTGTTGGCCTTGGACCCCGGGACCCTGGCTCCAGATAAGCAGGATGAGACTCAGGCAGGGGAGGGCAGCCTTCTGCATTGGAGAGCCCATCTGCTGTGGAGGAAGGACCAGGAGGATGCTGCCGGGAGAAAGGGAGACAGGCAGCTGAGGCCGGCCCTCTGGCCCAGGACCGGTATACTCAGCAATAACGCTCCTCGGCTCTGCCTCGCCAACCTGACACACAGATAGGAAACCTGAGACTACAGTGGATTGTTCGAGTTAGAACATTGCAAACATGAGTGCCCTGAGGTGAGGTGAGGGTCTTTCTGCCCCCACATCTCACACCCGCTGGTCTCACTATCTCACTATCTGCTCACCCTCTCATGCCCATCCACATCACACACTCTGGGCACCTCCTTCCTTCCTCGATACACTGCTCTCTAGCCAACAACCTGCTAGTCAGAATGTGACCAGGAAGAGTGAAGAAATGGGTAGGGGGAGGAGGGAGGAGGTGATGTTTACAATGTGCCAAAGAACACATACAGGGAGCCCCAACTCAAGGGTAGAGCTTAACTGCGTGTTTCACTTGTCTGAGTTCTGCCCTTCAGGCACCAGGCACACCTGGGCAGGTCTTTTTCTCACTCCAGCCCACCTCTGACTCCTCATCACGAGGGGCCTCCTCATCCTGGCACACTCTCACTCTGCCACCTCAACTGACGACTCACTTTTGACCCTAAGAATTGGCTTTTTAGGTAACTGAACACGAGGTAGGAATCGCATTTCTGGATGAATCACCTTGAAAACTTTCACTAGAGTGCCAATTTAAAATGACTATGAAGAGGCCCAAGCTAGAGAAAGGTGAATCATTATCCATTTATCATAATTGTGCCCAGAGCATTCCTTCTCCCTCCCTTCTTTGCTAGTTGCTCTTCTTCCTTTCCTCCCTCCCTTTCTCCTTTCTTCCTTTCTCCCCTCCTTCCTTCCTCCCTCTCTCCATCCCACAACCATTGAAGAACCTTTCATATTCCAGACAACGGTCTCCCACCTGAAGAAACTCAGTCTTCTACCCCAAGGCTGGGCAGGAAGATGGGGGAAGGCCTGTCTCTGGAATGACTCCAGCATATGGGCAGGGAAGTGGGACCCAAGACCAGCACCCAGTATCCTCCGTCATGCAAGTCTGAGCCTTAGCATCGCTCTAGGTAGGGTCTTCCCATTCTGTTCTCTCAAACTCCACAGGCTTCAAACCCTCTGGAAAATTCATCTCTGGGCCTCATACTCCTCCTGCTCTTCCTCCCATCTGCCCCAAATTCGTCTTGGTGTTAAGTCAGAAGAGGCGGCACCTCATCCACAGTTAGATCTTATCCTTCCATAGTCACCGAAGGAGTTGGCACTGCCATCCCAACCCCCATTCCCAGGGAGGCAGCAGTCTGATGCTCAAAGCCAAGCACTCAGGAATTCCCGCACCCCTCACCTCGGGGCTGGAGTCAGATGCTTGAGGTTTGCTGTTTGGAGGTGTCTGGCTCCTGCTACCGAGGGGGGAAGTTGGGAGGCACCCTCACCACTCACCAGTCAGGATGTCACTGTGGGTGGAAGGTTCCTGTCTGGGCTGTGGAAGTCGTTTCAAAAGTAAAGCAAGGTGTGCAGGCCAGCTTTGTGAAGATTCATATATATGGGGGCTGGGGCGGGGGGAGGAGGGAGAAGAGGGGGGTGGAGAAAGGGAAACTGGTCATGCTTTCCTAGAGAATTACTTCATTGCCTAGTCACCCTTCACTCTGAGACAATAGGGCAAGGAGAAAGTCGCCGCTGAGGTGAGATGAGACCTGGGTCTGGGTCTGAGTTCTGGCTTTGCCCCTGTCTGTGTGACCAGGGGCAAGTCTCCTAGGGACCCTGAGCCTCAGCTTTGGTATCCATAACATTCGAAAAAAGAAAAAGAAAAAAAAAAGGCGGGGGGGACTGTCCTCCTTCCCCCAAAGGCCGGTGTAAAGAGCAAATGACACAGAGGTGCTTTGTAAATTCTATACACGTGTGAGTGCATTATTGCTGTGTAGAGTACACCGGTGTCCTTGCTGCCCAAACCATTCAATAGTTATGCCTTTTAATGATGGGACAGTAGCCAAGAGGTTAAGGATAGCCTATAAGAACTTCTTTAATGGATCAGGGACAGGAATTTTTTTTTTTTTTTTTTACAGTGTAAAATTTTTGTATTTAGAATTAGACAGCTGGACTCAGTTTAGATGATTCCAATTTTGTTGGCAACATCCAAAGCATCATCGTCAGGAGCCAGTTGAACATATGCCTTCTTCTCACCAACAGGCCTGATCAGGGTGTTGACCCTGGCCACATCAATGTCATAGGGCTTCTTCACAGCCTGTTGGATCTGGTGCTTGTTGGCCTTGACATCCACAATGAACACCAGTGTATAATTGTCTTCTGTCTTCTTCATGGCTGACTCGGTAGTCAGGGGGAACTGGAAGATGGCATAGTGCTCAAGCTTGTTTCTCCTGGGTGCGCTCTTCCGAGGATATTTAGGAGACCTCCTGAGTCTTAGTGTCTTTGGCGGTCGGAAGGTGGGTGACATGCCAATCTTTTTTTTTGTGTGGCTGTGGATGCCTTTCAACACTGCTTTCTTTGCCTTCAAAGTGTTGTGGCCGGCAAGACCCGGTGGAGGCAGAGCTCCAGATGACTAGCAACACCCTGTCGAGGCAGGACTCCAGGCCAAGGAAGGAACGAGCAACCAGACCCACAACAAAGAATGTAGCATAACTTTTAGTCATAAAATAGTTCTGCTGCAAGGCTCAACCCCCAGGCAGGCATGTCCTGTTTCCAGTAGCCACAGGGCAGGACAAACAGACCAAACCAGGTGAAACAGAGACTGCTTAAGCTGAAAATAAACCCCCACCCCAGGTGTTGTACAAACTTTAAATGTTACTGTACTAGTGGAATTTTTCTATAACTTATAACTGCATTTCTTTGTTAAAACTTTTAGCCAGTCATAATCTGCCAGGCATCCCTAAGACGGGGATGAAAGTAGCGTGCTTAGAGTGGGTCAGGGCTCTCGTTGCTCGCTGCTATGTCAGTTGAGACAGGAGCCCCGATTCGAGTTCGTAATAAAGGCTTCCTGAATTCCAATGTGGCTGACTGGTGGTCGTCATTCGCGGGTTGCCCCAACAAAAGCTTTCGCTTCGGCTTTGGCTTTGGGAGGGGCAGGGGCTTCCTTCTTCGCTTTCAGCTCCATCTTCAAGAAAAAAAAAGGGGGGGGCAGGAATTTTAGGAGTGTTTCTTGACATGCAACCAGGATGACACTTAACCAAGGTATGTTGGGTGTATGCATGGCTGGGTCTGAACCTGAGGACCTGTGTCCTCAGTGCTGGCCTCAGACCGTGCTGCTCTGCCGAGTCTCACCCAGAGGAGGCAAAGTGGCGTGTCAGCAGCACCAGGCAGTCATGGGCCTGACTGTACCAGGGATACGGCAGTGGCATGCCAGGAACATGAGTGCACTCACTTGATTGTATGTGATAGATCCTCCCTTCCTCCCGTTTATGAACAGACATAAACCCCACCTGCAGCCAGACATTCCTGAGCTCTGAACCACCAATCAGCATCTGCCAAATACCCTAAAGCCCCCATTCCTAAGACCCTAGGTCCCTAATCACCAATCAGCGTGTGCTGAGTACCCTAAGCCCCACCCCCTATCCTTAAAGATGCTTGTACGCCCCTCCCTCACTCTCTTCTGCCCCTCTCAGTGGAAGCGGCCAGCAAGGCTACCCTTCCCTCCAATAAAGCCTGTGTGTGTGTCCTGCCATCCCAGTCTCCGGTCTACCTTCTCTATTTAATCTATCAGTATGTCCAGCTGGCAAGGACGCAGGCCTCAGCTTCCCCGTGTACAAAATGAGGGGAGACAGCAGAGGGTTCCCAGAGCACATTGCACACAATCTAGTCCTGAGACAAGCTTGTCTACAAGACACTCCACAAAGCAAGAGATTCATTGTCAGTAAATCAGAGGGGCCTGGCCTGTGCCAGCCCCCCTGGGAAACGTGTACAGCCCCTGAGAATACTGACTGGGAGAAGTCCCATGAGGGTAGGGGCAGGCCGTTTGTTTAGCTTTGTTTAACCCAGCATTTCCCAAGCGTTTGACCATGCCCATTGGACACAATTGGGAAAACACTAAACACTGAATCAGGGAGTGGCATATTCCAGGCCAAGTTCAAGCTAAGAATGGCTTAGCTTTGTGATATAAGGATGGTTTATACATTTTGTTTGCTTGCTTGTTGGTTGGTTGGTTGGTTGGTTTGTTAATCTTCACCCAATGATATTTTTTCCATTGAGTTTTAGAGAGAGTGGAAGGGAGGAGAAGGGAGGAGGAGGAGAGAGAGAGAGAAAAACATCGACATGAGAAAGACACATCAATTGGTTGCCTTCTGCATGCATCTCAATGGGCAGGGATCAAACCTGCAACCCAGGTACCTGCCCTTGACCTCGAATTGAACCCAAGATCCTTCGGTGTGTGGGCCTGATGCTCTAATCACTGAGAACACTGGCGAGTGCTGGTTTTCAGACTTCTAGATACTTTTTTTTTTTAATCAAAAGAATGATATTCTGTGACATGTGGAAAGTCTGTCGGGTTCCAATTTCAGTGGTCATAAATAAGGTTTATGCCCATTTGTTCACTTGCCCACTGGTATGCTGCTTTTGCACTTTAATGACACAGATGAGTAGTTGTAACTGAGACTGCAGCCCACAAAGCCTAAAATATCTACTCTCTGCCCCTTTGTAGGGGGAGGCTGCTCTAAATCACCTTCTTGCACATCCTTAAACCTCGGTCCAGGAGTAGGGTGTGCTGTGAGGGGCAGGATAACTTCTCCAGGTCAGTGCAGAAGGCAGACACTGGGAGAGCAGCCCTTCCCCATCTCTCCAAAGGGCAGACTCTGCCCAGCCTCTCCGGCACTAACACCCTTCCCTCCATCACACATGGAGATCTGAGTCCCCAGCCAGCAGCCTGTCCTGCTCCTGCTGCCTCTGCAAGGACCAAGCTGGAGTCCTTTGCTTTGCTCTGGGAGGACCTGAGCATTGCCCTCTAGTTGTAGGTGGAGCTCCACATCACACCCCCTTCTCTTCCCCCCTTCAGGGTTGAGGGCATTACTAAAAATCCCTAACCACTATGGGAAGAAGATGCCTAGAGCATTGATAAGACTGAAAAGAAGACAAAGTCAGCCCAGCCAGGGTAGCTCCTGTGAGCCAGGAGGTCACAGTTGGATTCCCAGTCAGGGCATATGCCTGGGTTTGGTCCCTAGTAGAGCGCTCTCTTTCCAGCCTGCCAACTGCACGGGTTTCTTCATCTTGAGGGGTTGAGGAGGTCTTTCTAAATCCAGGACGTGTAGTGCTCTTTCACTTAGCATAAGGACAGGAGATTGTAGGGCAGACGTTTAAGGGAAGTGGACTGAATGAGGTAAAGATCGGCTGGTCTTGAAAATGAAATGTCTTCATTGTTTCCTGCTATGACAATCCTCTCCGAAACTTGAGTAATCACACCAGCATTTGGAACTCTTCTTAGAACTTTTGTTCCGGGCCAGCATTTCATGGGGCTACCCTTACTTCTTACAGGACCCTCATTTGCTGACTAACACCTGTGGACATAAAAAGGGCCACTTAGACACATGACAAGCTCAGGTGAGGCCTGTGTGGTGGCCGTACAAACTCAGAGACCTAAAGTAACCACATAGGATGGTCTGAAATAAAAGCTTTCTAACTAAAAGCAGTTCGAGGAAGGTAGTCGTGTCGTAGGGAGGCATTTTTCCCTAATGAAGGTCAGTCTTCACCTTAACTGAGCCTGTCAGTTGTCTTTTTGCATCTGAGATAACATACCTGGCAACATACCTTTCAAATATCAAGTAATTCCTTTCTTTCCAGACCCTTCATAGCACAATCACCATGCTGTTAACTGTTTACTATCCTGTGTACCCCTCTATGTAAAGAAGCATATGTCTATTGCTTCTATTTTTTATTCAATCCCAGAGGTTTCCCCACTCTGCTTTTTTCCTGCCTCCATAATCTACCATTGCCAGTGGACTTCATGGAACCCTTTTACATCTTCTCCTTTGACTCTGATGTATAAGATACATGGTAAAACCACCATTTGGGGATGCATTTCCTTAATCCTTTGAGATTTGCTTCCCAGAAATTAGATAAAATCCTACATAATAAAATCCTATATAATAAAAGCCTAAGGCTTAGGCCCTGTTTGACCAATCACCTGGTAGCTATGATGTGCACTGACCACCAGGGGGCAGATGCTCCAACCAGTAGGTTAGCTTGCTGCTGGGGTCCGGCCAGTCAGGACTGGCAAAAGGGTCCAGACATACCTGGAGCCCTCTTTTTGTCTCTCCCTGGCCCTGATCATGCACCGATGAGGTCCCTCAGCCTGGCCTGTGCCCTCTTGCAATCCAGAACCCCTTGAGGGATATCTGC